AATAAAATGCAATTGCCCACCCGTAGTCCAGGCGTCCCGTATCCATATCATCGATATGGCTGATTGATACGTCACTATTTATCATTAAAGAAGTATTGATTCTATGGTAAATTCTTCACAAAGGCAAAGAAAACAAGTTATTAAGGAACTAATATTATCATTATCGTCTGAGGCAATAGGACAGTAAGTAGTTAGGCTGGAATTACCGGAATGACGCTCTTTAAGCCTTCGGCGGTATCCACTGGTCACGAAAGGTATTTTAGGGTTCATTTAGTTTAACTATTTTTACTATTGCTATCAATAAATACAATTTTAGCTAGCCTAGCGACTTTCTTCCCTATTCGAATTTTAGGGTTCCTTTGTGAAATAATAAAAATCTCGTAGTGTCAGAGGTCAGGTAAAAAGATTTAGTAAAATAGGTATCTTTATTTTGTATGCTGGATGTAATAAAGCGGAACAACTTTAGGCAGTCTTATCGATAGGAAGTGATCACTTCCAGACAACTCGCTCAACTCGGAGATATTAAAGAGGGAGTTTGATTTCAATTTAAAAGTAGGTACTTAATATTTTAAAGATTCAGAAATGCAACATACAAAATGGACTAGAAGAGCTTCCTTATTCTGATGTTCCATTTCGTGACGGGAGGACACGAAGCGTGGGCGGTTAGAACGCAAATTTGTGGTGAAGCGAAAATTGTGAAGCACTTCCCTAGTGAAGTACCTACCTACCTAGGTACCTATCCAACATTTTAATTAGATTAATAGATTAGTATAATGCCCGTTTTCACCATCGATCCCTTAAGCGTTTGCTAACTAAATATCACTTTGGTTAAACGATCGCCTAAACTGCCCACTAACCTAAGTTCGTTTTCACCATGCTATAGTAAACCTAAGTAGGGACTCTTTTGTCAGGTGGCGTTTCTTCGTGCGCCTAGTGACGTTTGAAAAACCGGTACTTTCCGATAAAATATTTTATTGGGAATATCTTACGTATTTCACAGAAACAAATGAAATAAAAGTAAAACTAAGAAATAGTTGACCAAAACTGATGTCTTTTTGTATTTTTGAGTTATTATTAAAGACAAAAAAGATATTTGGGCTATTATGTAATCTGTGGTTTGGGTGCATAATGTAATTCCTTTGCCTTAAAAAAAGTAAATGTCAAGATGACTGCTGCACCACAATAAATGAAAATAAAAATGTACATATTGATTTTGATAGATATTTTGTTGAGTTCTGTGTGTAGTTGCGATTTAACGATAAAAACGACAATGGAAAAAAGAAATGAAGCAAATTTTTCCCTCAAGGAAAAAGATAAATTGGTTATAATTTTACTTGCCCACAAGGATACTGTACGAGCACGTCAGCATCGACCGCGACCTACGTGCTAGCCGACTGGCCCATGAACCCTCAACGTGCACCGTAGGCATTCTACACCGACGGCACATTGGACTGGACACATTGAATTGTGTAAATCTTGTATATAGTAATAGCATAACAGTAATAAACCAGATATCAACCGTCCGCGTTGTGTTTCATTTACCCCCACTGAGGCCAAGAAAGCCTTAGTGCAGCCCTCCTTCCTATCAAATCTTTATTATATTATCTAATTATAAGGTATTGTTAGGGCTCTAGGGACTACAAACGAAGCCAGAAATATAGCTTGGTTATGAGATAAGTTATGAGTGACCAATATCTAATACCGTATGTAATCCTGTATTATTATTATGTGGCCGCCAATGATATTATAGTTATATAGGTACCTAATATCATTGGTGGCCGCCTAAATAAACTTGAGTGAAAAAGTGTTTACACTGTCTCAATTGCATAAAAAGCTCCAAAAAATCATTTAATTCAGTTTCCATTCTGCCGAATAGGCGTGATTGACAATATAACTGTCACCTAACACTTAGGCGGCCGAAAATCGGGCCCCTGTTTTAAAGTGATCCCATAAGGCCTAAGGTGTCCCTTATGTGTTGGTGAAAACGAAATTCCTGTTAGGTATTACCTAATATTATTTAAAGGTCGCTTTAAAATTAGGGATTGATGGTGAAAACGGGCATAAGACGAGCAATTTTTTTTTCTAATTAAATAAATAGATCACGACGAGGAAAAGTTTTTTATTTGGCGCTATTCCGAAATTACCGAATTGCTGTTTTTTAAATAGTAGTTTATGTTTACCTCCTCGAATGGACGATTAGGCCTATTCATATTGTTGTTCAGTGTCTTCAGTGAGTTCAGTGGATTAATTTATCGATTCTTCAATAAAATTTGCCACAATTTTTATTAATTTTTCGGTTTCAAACTTTAAAAGTTTAAAAAAAAACTGAAGCTTATTCAGGGTTGCTATTTGCAAGAACAGAAAAACTACCATTATTAAAAAAAGCCTAATAAGTAGGTTAAAAATATTATTTTAAGGGCTGATTTTTCAATCGTCAGATAATTTTTAACTGAAGAATAAGTTTGGCACATTGACAGTTTTAGTACGGAAAATATGTCAAAATGACAAGGTTATTCTTCAGTTAAAAAATATCTGACGATTGAAAAATCAGCCCTAAAACACAGCAACTAATTGCCCATTTACCAAATCAATTCACATTACCTTTAATATTTTTTATTTAAAATAATTTAGACAAGAGTCTTTCAATCCAAAGTCTTATTAAAAAAATGTAATAAAACCCACGGTTGGGCTTGTCTGTCATTCTTTTTAGTCTCTAATTTACTTAAAAGTAAAAGTAAAAAGTAAAAAAGTAAAAAAGTATTTATTACTAAAAGATGTCACATTGTACAAATTATTCTGGCGGTCTCTGCACTAAGCAGGAAAGCTTGTATCGCAGTGGCCAATACGAACAAGTACACATCATACATTACCAATAAACGTTTCTTCAAACATCAATTATTACAAATCACGACTAGCTACTCAATGTAACTAGGCAATTACAACAATACAAGCAATTTTACGTTTCAATTAAAATAATGTAAGCAGGTAATTTAACATAACAACACCGTCATTAATATTAGCAACCACCTAATTGATTAGAAGATACATAATATTGCTGGGCATTATTCCCATAGTGTAAGTAGGGTACATGAATATTATGTACCTACTTGGGTATTAAAACGACGATCAAGCTCGTTAATTAAGGCAAATTAATTCTTTAAAATCAACACAATGAATGGACGTGACCACCAACCTACTACCATAGTATAGGAGTTATTAATGAGTACTTTACTATAATAGAACATTATGAGTTTCAGATAAACTGTCTATTTTGTTTGGGGTATAAATGTCTCATAATTTACATCAGATCAGACAATGTGAACATTACAATGCACTATTTTAACACCAAATCACCTTTAGACCACAATGTTTTGTTCAAATTAAGACTGAATGGAGACAGATTACGCGGGGGCATACATTAAACATCACTCTACGGCCATTGCTATTGGGAAACGTATTGCGACACAACTCTACAGGGACCTACGATTAGTCGTGAACAACTGAAAATTTTTGCAGTCACGGCAAAGTAACGATTGGGAAATATTTCAAATTCATGGTTGTAGAAAGCCAAATTATCTTGAATATTTTGAAAAACTCGCTGAAAGTTCTTGGTCCAATTTAGTTTATCGGAATAAGAGTAGTTATAGGTGTACCAGAATCTCATGGCAAATAAAAATATTGGAAAAGTGTGTTTTTCATATGGCAATTGTCTATGGCTTTATTGTCACCTGTCAAAGTAAATCAAGAGATCTGTCAGCCGCTGCAGAAATGTTGTAATCTCTTCATGCCTATTTGTTATTTTTGTGAAGAAGTCGAAAAACCTCAAGCAAATCATATTGTTTGCAATGTGTATTGTAAAATAAGGCATAATTCAAAGTCAATCTTTGATTTTAAAGCGCGTCGTTAAGTTGACAGTAAGTTGGAGTGAAATGTTTTGATATTTTAATAATGTTACAGAAAATTGTATGGTATAGTAGTGAATTTTCGAAAAAAATTCGAAAATCTTTTAGTGTAGCTCTCTTTTTTTTCGAAAATAAAGGAATTTTCTTTCAGCAAATTTTTCTATCTACAGTATTAAGAGTACCAGATGGCATTACAAAATTCCACTCTGTATAAATACCTCTTTAACTTGATCATCTATTGAAGAAGAATCAAGAATTGCAAGTGGAGTTCCTAGAAAACGTCTAGTTCTGAATGAAGTGATAAGTTATAAGTATGATACATAATAAAATTATTTACAGTAATATACGGTTTATTTATTTTTCAAGACATGATAAATGTTAAAAACCCGATGTATAACAACATTCTTCATACACAATCTAAAATGTATAGGTAGGCATTCGTACGTACTTCATGTTCATTAATATTAAAGTCATAAATAAAAAATTAAACAGTATCAAGATCGTTTAATCCAATTTCCCCAGTATTGCACTCAACAAAGTTTATTTTCCCCATTTGCCATGAGATTCTGGTACACCTATAATATAAATTTAAAAAAATAAAAATATCGTTTAGGTACCCGAGTAAAGAGAGTCCTGCTTGCTAGTCACTATTATTATTTCTTAGTAAGCCTATGTTTGAGAACAATCTCCCAATTAATGATGAGCCTATCCTAAAGAGGTCGGTTACAACAATTTCCCTATTAGAGCGTCATTACGAAACGTGTCGGTGTTAAACGGTCCCACGCGATGTCATCTCAGGCTTCGTGGTGTGGGTCTATTGTGCCCCAGGGACCCACAAAAACGCTGCCGCGGAGAAAGGGTTTAAGATGGTTAATAGATTATACGGCATTGAATAACACGAAATTGAAATAGGCTGGGAAATTGGACTAAGGAACTCACGATTGGCGCTTTTAAGCTGTTTACAAAAGCGTTAGATTGAATTTAAATGCTCAATTAGAAAATATTATCACGGATTTTGTAGTCCTCCTTTTGTATTTTGCGAAAATAGTTATAAAATCGGATATTAACTAATTTTGACTATTTGTATTTCTTTTTCAGTGTTACTGGCTCTTGCAGTAGCGCAGAATGGGTATGAATACAACAAGCCTGGCCAACCATTTGGTTCAGGGACAACTCCAAACAGACCAGGATACTCAGGTGGCTCTAGTGGCTACCCTAGTTCACCTACTACTCCGTCATACCCTACTAGACCCCAGAATGACGAATATTCTGGATCTCCTGGATCCGCGTCGACACCTGGTTTTCCATCTGGCCCTACAGGATACCCATCCGGCCCCAATCAGGGCTATCCTGGATCTGACAATCAACGCCCACAAATGGGTTACCCCACTCAAGGATCTTCATACCCTGGACAAGGACCAAGTGGACCATCTGGTGGATATCCTGGATCTCAAAACTACCAAGGACAAGGCTATCCTGGTCAATCTGGCTCAACACCAAGTGGACCTGGATCTGGATTTGGACCCGGTGGATTTCCTGGTGGATCTAACGCTGGTGGATTCCCAGGTAGCCCGGGCAGTTCTGGATTTCCTGGTACTGGATTTGGACCTGGAGGTTCTGGTGGCCCTAGTCGGCCTTCTGGTCCTGGTTTTCCTGGTTCAGGACCTCAAGGCTTCGGAGGGTCTGATGATGATGGTACTTATGAAAACGGTGACTACTCAGCTATTCCCGGAACACCTGATGTGGATTATCCTATCCTAACAGAGATCCCTGAAACGTCGTTTAGATGTGATGCTCAACCATACCCTGGCTATTATGCTGATGTTGAAACTCGCTGTCAAGTGTTCCATGTCTGTGCCAATAACAGAACTTATGATTTTCTTTGCCCAAATGGAACTATTTTCTCACAAGAAGTTTTTGTCTGCGTCTGGTGGAACCAATTTGATTGCAACTCTGCCCCAGGCCTATTTGAATTGAACGCTAATCTATACGACTACTCCATAACTGGATCATCCCAAAGTGGTTTCCCTGGCTCGAATGACTACTCACAAGGATCTTATCCTGGACAATCGGGACAGCCTGGAAGTACAGGCCAGTATCCTGATAACACTGGATCTTACCCAGGTTCAGGACCACAAGGCCCATCTTCAGGTTATCCAGGAAGCCAAGGCTCTCCAGGATCATCAACTGGATATCCAGGATCAGGCTCTAATGCTCCATCCGGTGGTTACCCTGGAAGTCAAGGTCCATCAGGTGGATACCCAGGAAGCTCGGGACCTCAAGGTCCATCAGCTGGATATCCTGGTAGCTCAGGACCACAAGGTCCATCAACAGGCTACCCCGGTAGCCCCGGTTCGCAAACTCCATCAGGCCTATACCAAGGTAGCACAGGCCCCTCATCATCTTACCCCGGCAGTTCAGGACCCCAAGGACCATCTTCTGGTTACCCTGGAAGCTCTCGACCTCAAGGAACATCTTCGTATCCTGGAAATGCGGGATCACAAGGTTCAACACCATACCCAGGCAGCACTAGACCACAAGGCCCATCGTCGTCATACCCTGGGAGTCAAGGATCTCAAAACCAAGGTTATCCAGGATCACAGGGTAGCTCAAGCTATCCCGGTTCTGGTTCAGGAGGAAGTCAAGGTTACCCGTCAGGCAAACCAAGTGGCCCTAGCTTCCCGTCTGGAAGCGGTAGACCACAAGGTTCCAATGCACCGAAACCTAACAGAGAATACCTACCACCTAGAAATTAAATCACAGTCTCGTTGATGACTAGAAAAGACCAGTATTGAAAGACTTAGATTAATTTTATTATTAAGGTATTTCCTGTAGGTTTAACGAGAAAAGTTACTGTAGAAGCCAGTAAGTGTAACGTTAACAAACGAAATTGTTGGTGCTGTCATGTCTTAAACTAATATCAACTAAACTTTGCCTATTTATTCAACTCATCTATTATTATAAGTCCATAGTATTACTGTATGTTTTTACTTTCTGCTTTACTTAAAGTAAGTTTTTATTTGTTACAATTTCGATGGTGATTACGATGAAAGAAGCCTAATGTGATTTTAAAGAAACTTTTAGTTACCAAATCTAGTGTTAAAAATAAGTTAGTACCTACAAAGTTGTGAAATTAAATCAGCTAATTTTTTTATATAGATCAAAAGATTTATTATCATATAGCCATACAATATATTTTTCTTTTCCTTGAAAATGTAAATAGTTGTGTAATTAAAATAAAATGTAACTCATTGTGCATAAAATGTGAATTTAATTTCTACCTGAGGAAGGCTGAGGAACCAATGAAATTCGAGCCTGTCGACTCCTTGATTTCAGTCCTGTAATAGACATTCTTCCCGAGATGTTATGCGCACTCTTTGCCAAACGAGTCAGATCGTTTATCTTCTGATATTCAACACATGACACCGGGATACAATTTCCTTCAATCCCGACCTTTACAAGACCCGATTGAGTCGGCCTTTTAATAAGTTTCTGGTATTGTAAAAGGGCAACGAGCTTCTTCATACTAGGATACGCTAATCGATTATAGGACAAATTTAAATAACATAGCACCATATTTCCAGTACAATGGCTATATCCATCTCTCAGTACAGTGTTAAGTGGTGAAAATGGATCAATAAACGGCCCTAATAGCTCATTTGCAAACAACTCTGCTCTAAGCAAGCCATCTTCACCAGATATTAATTTATCTTTCTTACTAATATCCTTTTTAAAGCCTTTGTTCTTCAAAGAGGTGACAGATGTTTTCTTTTTCTTCGTACCAGATTTGCGACTGAATTGACTGTATTCATCTGATTCCTTTGTCGCATCGCATTCTGCTAAGAATTTCATTAAAAACGATCTTTTGGCCTTTAAATATTCTAGCCTTCTTTTTCGTTTCTTCATAGTTTCATCGTATGTAAGGCGAAATTCTATTAGCGAGTCGAATATAAAGTCAGCACCGTCATCGCCTATGTGGTTATCCGCCAAATTTAAATACCGCAAGTGTCTATTAGTTCTTAGAGCTTGGCCTAAACATTTTGCTCCTTCATCTGTTATGTGGTTAGAAGATAGATTTAAAAGCAATAATGTTCTCTCCGCTGGACACAAATAGTGTAATCTACTAGCTATTTCTTTACACACTTCATCGTTTATTTTACACCTGCACAGTGAAAGATATTTGATGCGAGTTTCATTGTGGTCTAATAGATTAAAATAGTTGCCTTCAGGGACTGGAGATCCGTCAAGACAGACATCAGTAATTGCCGTCTTGGGCAGTATCTTTGAAAGTTCGTGTATAACAAGGGAATCAATGTTACATGCGTACAAGGTAATTTTTGTCAGATACTCGTATGATGGTGCCAGATAGCCTATTATTTGCATTAAAGATCTAGGCACAGGTCGTATTTTAGCTAAATATATTTCTGTTAAGTTGTTCACATTGTCGTAATAAGTGGTGATGAATATAGCGTCTTCATCGAAGGACATCTCTGAAGCACTAGTGGCAGTGGTCCTGTCGTCAGGTCTCATAAAGTCGCCTTGGAATGTGGCTGAATTTGGCAAAGGCGTAGTGACCGTAATTTTTTTATACTTCACTGATTCTTCTGGAGCTTTTAATTGTTTGTAAAAGTCATCTGCAAGAGAAAGAACACAGGTTGTATACCTACTTAATATTTTATCTAAGTGCCTACTGCATGCACAAGTCCTCTAATTACCGTGTTGGTAGTCTTTTTTCACAAAAATAGAAAACGGGCATGAGTACTTCCTGCACACCATTGGTAAGCATTCTTCAAAAGACGGTTGTTGGTCTTCCAAGATATCGCTCGACATATTTTTCAAAGATTTTGCTGATCGCACTGATTTGTTTGATCTTACTGATTTCATTGAATCCGCTTTTGTTGCTTTCATTGTAAAAAATATATAAATAATATTCGTAAAAAAATCTAAAATAAAATCTAAATCCTACTAGAGTAAATAAACATATCAAAGGACAATCTTGGACTGACAAAAATCAGCCATCAAAATATCCACAAAGAACATAGACAAAAAAGTATGATTGAAGTTTGATGTTTGTTGAAGTTTTCAAAAACTGGTGAAAAGGTTTTTAACGTTTACCTATAACTCTATTAAGTCCCACCCAAGCTTACACCCAAGTCCCAATCGAAAACTCGTGACTGTGAACGCCGTAAGGTGACTGTAGGGTAGGGTAAAATTATACTAAATTAAATACATTGTTGTTGTTGGATCCATTACAACAATAAGACTGCAATAAGAGCTACTGTGGACTGTGGTACGATAACGCGTTATCGCTATCTTGCTCTCCAGACATCTAAAAATAATATAGAATGCAGTTTATATTCGAACTTCTTTTAATAATTATTATAGTAAATCGAATATAACTCTCTGCTAAGGAATTGTTGAAGCGGCCCCTGCAATCTGCTTTCTTTGGTAAGTAAGTATATACCTACTACACTTAATACACCTAATGAAATGTTTTCTTTATCTGGGAGCTCCTTTCGCTATATTATGATTGATACGGAAATAGCGCTAGGTATGCTCCTATGTTGTGTTTTGAGTAGGTAGAGCTACAAAACAGGTTGTTAAAGCGAACATTGAATTTCCTTTGAAGTCTGAATAGCAAATACTTAGGCACGTAATAGTGTTTTCATAGTGTATTAAGGTGAAGCTTTACTTAGATTCACAAAAAACATTAAACATTTATTATTTTCAACACAATTTTTTTTATTTACTCATAAACACAATTATTAATTAAACAGAAAAACTTCTTAAATGATAAGTAATGGACAAAACTTAAACAGTAATCAACAACTCGTATCTTAACAAATCTATTATGTAAGTACCTACAATATAAGTGGAAAAGAAAGTAACTTATAGAAATTCAATTAAAATTGACTTCATGTAACTTATAATATAAATTCTTCTTAAAAACAAAAATAAAGTATGCTTGAGTTGCGTGCTTAACTCGTAGACTTCACACACAAACCTCGAGGCAGTATTTAACTCAGTCAGAGCAACAAAAATGTTACATTACTTAATGCAATCCCGCTTTTTCTATTTTATTTATTGTAAAATGTTAAATTCTATGTCTGCTTATAAGTCCGCTAGGGCGTCTCTTTCCAGAACCTGAATGCTGAACTGGTACAGAATTATGGGAAACGCCGGCCTTTTTCAAAAACATGTCTATGTGCGCAAGCTCTGGACATGCATTTGGCAAATAATTTCCCTCCAGAACAATTCTCATGAGCCCTGTATTAGGTGGTCGTTTTTCTAGCAGACATTGGTATTTTAAAACTTCAAGAACTCTTAGTAAAGACGGAAATTCTATATTATTGTATGCGACATTTAAAGAGCAAAGTTTGAGATTTCCAGTGGAATAATAGTAATTGTCCTTTTTTATGAGATTGTCATCTTCATAAGGATCGTCAAGATCACCAACAATTTCATGAGTCATTTTTTCAGCTATATTTGTTTGAGATAGCTGCTCAGTAACTTGAGGCGTTGATTTCTTAGCCTTTTTGAATTTAGTGTGCTTATTGGTCAAAGAAGACCGTTTATCGGAAAGCATACTGCACAATTCATCAGCTTTTTGCATGCGAGCTAATTCATCCAAGCAACGTTCGTATACTTCTTTTTTCTTAATGGTATACTCCATTTTTCTTCGTTTTTTATCACTTATCTCATCGCAAGTCAATGGGAACTCCTGCAAATGTCTTAGGAGGTATCCAAAACCAACATCACTGATTCTGTTTCCCAGTAAATTTAAATGAAGAAGATGGCGATTCTTTTTTAGGGTATCACCAAAATATTTCGCTCCTGTATCTGTTATTTTATTAGAGCTTAGATCTAATGCAAGCAAAGATTTTCCTGCTGGTTGCCCAAAATCAATTCTAAAAGCTATTTCCTTGCACACATCGTCGTTAATTCTACATCTATTAAGAGACAAATACTTAATATTTGAAGCCTGGTCCAAGAGCACATAATAATTTCCCTCTGGAATATAAGTGTCGTCTAGACATACGTCTGTTATATTGGAATGGGGAAGCAATTTGCTAATTTCATGCAACAAAAGATAATCAAGACAGCCTTTACGAATTACTAACTTCGTCAAAAAGGAGTGAAAAGGAACGCAAAGGCTGATAGCTTGAATAACTTTCCTATGTAGAGCAGATGGACATGTCATTATTGCTATTTCTGCGAGATGACCATGAGAATCGTAATATGCTGTAATTGGAATGACGTTATCAACCATGCTGCTTCTGGTTACAACCGTATTGGTAGCAGATGTATATCCTTTTTTATTACTCGTTGACTCTTCATCTTCCTTTGGTCGCATGCTCTTGGCTGACTTCGACTTAGCTGAACTGATCCTTCTTTCAGATCGGGTGATTTTTTCTGAAAACATTTTATGATATTAGTTTTATTGAAGACGCAACGCATCTCGAAGTCTCTTTTATAAGAAACATTGTGTTTGTCTTACAAAATAAATAAAGAGGAGAATGCATTGCGATTTCAGAATAATAGCATAGGTACCTTGATTTATCCGTACAACTATCACCATTTCTGGAACTTGCCATTCCATACAAACCCAAGGGATAAAAGTTTCAAAATCTAATGGAGTGGGTTTATCAGAGAACGAAGGTTTTCTTCTAGATTCACCGGATAAGATTGCTGATACCTTTTTAATATCACTGGCGGTATTAATCCTTTCAATACTGTGATGGGTTGCTTTATTTTTTAATATTTTGGTGGTCATTTTATTTTTGAATAGAAAATTAATTTGGAAATAAAAAATCTATCGATATGCCCTTGACTTTTTGTTTTATTTGTTTATCTTGCATCATCTATATTTTTTAATTTTTGCACCAAAAAGTTTATTGGATAAAATTAGCTCTGTATGTGAAAATTGGTATCTCAAAAACTACTAGAATCTACTACAAACTTTACATTTTAAGAGTGGCAACTGGAAATTGTTGTTCTGTCATCTTCTTGTTGTCTGTCAACATATAGTTCCAAAATACTGGACTGTCCTGTCGATGACATTGACAGTGGGGCGCCACCGTCAATACCGGATCGCTGGTTCAGATTTTTGCCATGTTGGAAACCATATAGTTGAACGATGGTAGCGCCCCCCTGTCATTGAGTTTGGCGGGACAGTTCAGCGTGGGTCATCTATACTCTCTAATCCTATGTATTACTTTTCTCTATGCTCTAATCTGTGCTGTCATTTGTTTGTCATTCATGCATGGTTGGCCTGGTTGTTGTAATTCTTAGATTTTTTTGGTAAAACCCAATGTTTTAAACAAATTCCGAAATTTTTGAGTTAAAGGAGACAGTAAATTAAAACATTAGCATTTGCGATGTAAATTCAGGAACTTGAAAGAGGACTAAAAGGACATATTCGGTGTTGTGAGTGACATAATAATCTACCTTGAGAATTGCGTATCATGTAACTTTGTGGTTTGTTTTGTGGGATCCAGCATCTATTTTCGAACTCATCATCTTATTACAGTGAGTATATTTTACTTCTTAAGTTCTTAAGATCAAGTATTTCAAGGAAAATACACGGGGCTTGATTATGACAAATAAAAGCCTTAGCTCATGTTTTCAAGGTTTCATAAATTGGACGTAGCAATAAGATTCATCTTTTATTATTTCTGTGTAGCTTAAAACCTGTTTTTGGTGCTTGATTGTATTAATCTCATACCAGCAAAACTACTTTTATTTTGTTAGAATTGGATTAAATCTGCCAATATTTGATGAGGCATCTTTATAGTTCTTAAAACAATATTAATTTAATACTTGTAACCTTCATGTCTAGCTGATAGCACATACTTTATTTGTACAGTTATGTGATTTGCAGAAATCATACAATTATTATCAGAAATATGCCCTAATGATTTAGCAATAAGAAAACAAGTATTATCTATCTATGAAGCAATTACTATTAGTTGCCAATATTATCTTATTGCTTAACATTTTGTTTAACTTAACACTGAACTACCAACAACAGATTAGTAAAAGAATACAATACAAACTCATTAATAATAATAATAACTTATTTTACTATTTAAGTTACCTACTGATAATTATTTTCACTTAAAGATAAATCAAACAGGTAACGTTGTAGAGTTTTAATCAGCGATGTGAAAGCTAATACAACAAATAAATAATAAGTACAAGTAATAAAATTGAAAATTGTGTTTATTATACATATTGTGCCATTAAAAAAGCAGTTATTGTAGAATGTCACAAATGGTAGAGATGTATTTTAATTACTCTGATTTATGATTTCTTTACAACCATTTGGCTCGATACTGAAGATAATGTGTGTAGCTAATGAGTAAATTAATTATAATGAGTAAGACATTGATCATTATGCAATCTAATTTGCTAAATCTTATTAATTATTATTATTTACTAATTACTAATTATTTATTATAGATCAAATCAATACATACTTAGCAATTTAGCATCAAACGTCATCTATTTTATCCTAATTCGTGGGTGAATAGACATTAAACTTTACCCTGGGACAAACATAGACTTTACTAGTTACATCTGATTGGTAGTCAAGTCCTGTTAGTGTTAGTCTATCTAAAACATTTTCATTTATTTCAATCCAATGTAAAACCCTAGTAATTCCATAAGAAATAAAGATTTCACTTGTACTAAAGAGTTTATTGTTGCAAATTTTCACACACTTCTTCATTGAATTGGTTAAGTATGCAGTCAGATCTCATTGTTGTTGGTAAATGTCAATTAAAATAATCATTATGAGAAAGTTTTGCTATTGAAGCATGCATCAATTAGGCAATCATAGTTTCATTTCTAAATCATGTGATATCTGAATTTACTTCTAACAGAATTATTTAAAAACTAGTTATGTGTCTCTCTAGGCCTAATATCATAAATTTCATATTTTACACATTATTGTCCAGCAGTGGACGTTATATGGCTGAAATGATCGAACACACATATTATAGTTATAGCTATTTTATTCTTGCTTCTGCTTGCATATTGCTCTAATACAAATAGTTTTATTAAAGATTCAAAGTTTATTTATTCACTGAGACAAGGTACATATTTACATTAGATAAAAACTGTTTTCAATTATAGCATTCTGTAATTGAAAACACTTTTTATCTTACAGCTTACACTAATTTTCAATTCAATTGAAACATTTACTAGTTTTAAGATCGTGAAATTCGTTTTAGATAAAAATTATATCTCCAAATCTAATCTAGACGCTTGAAAGCTTGCACTAGAATGCCAAAATGAAAATTTTAACAAGATAGCATAACTAAGTTTCTAATGAACATTCCAATTAGTGCAACAAATAAATATTAATGAACCCACGTCCATTGAATTTATTACCAAATTCAATATAATAATTACGCTTATTTTTTTTGTCATGTGATTCTGTGAGAAGCAAGTGAGATATTTTTTAATTTATTTGTTTGTGAAGAGTGAAGGTGAAGTTCTGCATTAGATAATATTTGACTTGTAAACAAGTAAAACCTTTATTGCCATAGTGACATTCTCTTCCTATAAACCTTCTGGCCATTATTGGCCTTACTTATGTAAGTAACTTAGTTGAAAACTATTTTCACAAGTACAAAACAATACTATCGGAAACGGAAAAACTAGTTTGTTATAAATTAACATCCAACCTGACAAACCTATCAGACGCAAAAAGTTAGTAGTTAGTAACACGAAAGCATTACTTTTCATTCAGCAGCGTAAAAAGAAGAAATCGTACTACAAGTTTACAACCATTGTTGAAATGCAGAAAGCGAACGCATTCTGTGTGACCTCCTTTTTAGTTTTTACTTACGCTTCTAAAGTATGTAGACTTGAGATAAACCATGGGTCAAATGACAGGTCAAATCTAGTAAAGATAACCTTCTGAATGTGTGATTCGTCGTTTTAAAAACTACTCCACTATTGTATCTTTAGTAGGTATGTTTTTTTACGATAGCCTTTTACCCCGTGTGAGATCTGTTTGTCAATCTTACCATTACAACATAACAACTCATATTCCTTGGGTAAAAATAAACATAACAGTATGTAACCTTGCTATGCACGACGTGGAACAATTTTCCAATTATAATTAGAATTTTTCTGCAGGACTATCCTATCGCGTGTTTCACATTTTCAGGTTTTCAGGTTTTTCAGACATCGGTCTGCATCAGCGACTTTAGTGTGTTTCTCCATAAGCATCTTCAATGTACACAAAATAATTCGTAGGCACCTATCACTGTTTTGCAACAGTAGTAAAAATAACTCCCTATCTATCCACAATGTTTCTTAAAAAGTACAGTCGCACACATCAAGTAAACATGAAACACTGCATCTTACGCATTTGTAACACGTCCGATTTTGCAACGAAGACATTTAGTCTAATATGCCCTCGACTGTACAGTCAGGGTCATCAATTAGTCACATGTTTACACACTACGATTTCAGATGACCCGATGATTGGCGCGTCACGATGAGCTGGCTTCGGAATACGTCGCTCTCCTTCGCACGGCAGCTGTCTCGCTCGCTCGACCCGCGGCACGATTACGAGCCGCAGGCGTGCTACAACTCCTTCTGCAAGCATTGGCAACAGGCTCACGATATTATTGTCAAGTCCCAGGTTAGTATCAGGATCTTTAATCAAGGCTTGGCACAGCTAAGATCACAGCCCCGATCTCAGACATCCACAAAGCCACCATAGGCGTTTGACATGGACATCGTCCTAGCAGATAAGGCCTATGCCACGATGGATGGTTTTGACCGTACCTACCGTTTCATCCACGAAGACGCGCCCCACCAAATTTTAGTCGAGGGAAGCGCGGGGAGTTTGATCCAAGCAATCCGAGCGTCATTATTGTGCGTGTGCATGTGCACTCATGGATGATTTAGCGTGTACCAATAACACTCAAACATTAGCGGAAGAATGGTGGGGCGCGTCTTCGTGGATGAAACGAACTATACTGTCGTGTATTACTAATCGTGATGAAGTCAAATGTCATAGTAGGACATATGATTTTATTAATAATCATCTTGTTGTCCTGCAGACGTAGGTTGACAATATGCAAGATGAAGAATGATCTTGTTAGAATTTGTAATGTCCATTCCAATTACCTTCATCCTTCCAATGAAGATTAATATTACCAAAATGATTCGTACATTTTATATCCTTAGAAAAAAATCCTACTAATAAATTTACAAATGCGAAAGTTTGTGTGGATGTTTGTTACTCTTTCACGCAAAAAATACTGAACAGATTTTGTTGAAACTTTACAGTATTATTGTTTGTAACCCAGATTAACATATAGGCTATTAATTTATGCGGATCTGTGACACTAAATTTCACGGGAGTGAAGCCGCGGGCAAAAGCTAGTTAACAATAAAATGGTCACCCACTCAAAATGTGAACACTGTATCTGCAAGAGTAACTTAAGATTTCTTTTTCTTCCTAGCCTCAACACCTGCATGACGATGTGCTCGGCGTGGTCAATCACCTCGAACAGCTGGCAACGCTGCTGGTATTAGAAGCTAGAGCTGGAGAGATCAGCGCGGGTCGTGGCCGGGCCGCGTGTTTGGAACACCTGCTGAGCGAAAACCTGCTGGATAAGCTGTACGAGTGGGCGATATGCACTGGGAAGTGAGTATCATCATCATTTAGTCTTAGTCAACACATGGAAAAGCTGTCTACGTTGTTTGTACTGGAAGCTAGGACAGTGGAGATTAGCTCAGGCCGCGTGCTTGTAACACCTTCTGAGCGAGAACTTGCTGGATGATTCTGTCTACTACTGGACGAAAGCCAAGGATTTTCTCAACGACTGGCCCTGCACACCCAGAGATAGAGTATTAGAATTATATTATACTTATTGTGATAGGAAATAAATATACTAGATTTTTTGTTTTATAGCATAGAAAATAGTGTAACTGTCTTCAGTCATGACATAACTTGTGAATATTGCTGGTTTTAAAGTTAAAACAGTAAATTAAATAGATAAGTATACCAAGTTCAGATTGCGACAGACATAACATTAAACTTATCTCCATCTGCAGTCTCAATACGCGTCAATTCAAGTATCCTTGTAAAAGTTTTTATCTGCTACATTAGCCAAAACAATTAGCGCTTTGTAAACACAGCCATAAAAACCAAATTCGTTGATCTGCCGGCTTTATGTTTAAAGGCGACATGCGTACGCGCCGTTTATAATTAGAAACGTGTAGTAAGAGCGTGCGCAGAATTAATTAAAGCTTACGAGTATCAATTTTCATTGCTAATGACGAAGTTATGGCAATGCCAATCTTTTACTTACACCTTTGTAAATACAGCGAAGTATAGATTAAATAAATAAATCATTTATTTCCCCTCACAAACTTATGTTAGCAAACACAGTTGGTAGAAAATACATTATGCTATAGCCTATAGGTCCTACTTAATACTAAGTTTGTGTGGGAATGGTGCCTGAAATAGGTTTTGTTGAAAACCTGTTCTACAGGTCACCTGATTGTTTTATCCACGAAGACGCGCCCCATCATTCTTCCGCTAATGTTTGAGTGTTATCGGTACACGCTAAATTATCCATTAGTGCAAACGCACACTACAATAATGACGCTCAGATTGCTCGTTCAAACTCCCCGCACGCCGCGCTTCCCTCGACCAAAAATTGGTGGGGCGCGTCTTCGTGGATATTCTATACTATACACTCGCGAGCAAAAGTATAATAAATAATAAATAAAAAATTGATATCATAGGTACATAAATAGTCATCCAGTTGATCCAGTTCATAAGATCGCTCGGCACAAAACACAAAACGGGGTGAATCCATACTTTTACTTGTAACGCTTCACGATGCGCGTGGATGCACAGAGTGATACACTAACCAATCACAGAGTTCTATTCAACGCTGTGCGTTCGATTGGCTGCTTCACTTAAGCAAAAATCGTTTGTGATTACGGGCGTAAGTATATTTTGAGCCGGTTTAGTTACTGTTATTATTTGCATTGATTTTATTATACAAGTGGCTCATTATATTGATCGGTTAATTAATAAAATGTAATGCAGTAACAAGCAATTTCGAATTTTAATTAAGAATTATTTGTTTATTGAATTTGGCCTGAATTTGTACTAGTATTGTATCAGTTTGAGTCATAGTATACAACATCCGTATGTAAATTTCCTGTTTGTGATAATGTTTGAACATTAATTTCACTTACACATCGGCATATTACCACAAAATTCATATTACCGACTGTAAATAAATAAATGTTTTATTAGAGTCAATTACCTCATAGTCATAGTTGACCTTTGAATTCCATTCAGAGAATGTTGGTCATAATTAGTCGCTTTGTCATAGTTGCATTTTCCTAACAAATACTGCTTTTGTTTACATTCACTGACGGCGTGTCAAGTCTTACAATTGCAATTCTAAAGTAGCTCTTATTCCCCAAGCAATAGTGACGAGTTTAACGACAATATATTAAGGCTGATATGGTTTGTGTTGTATAAAACTCATTGTTTGAACAATGAATCCATAGAGATAAGCAGTTCAATAATTTAGCCTTATCAACGCATTTCGTTATCGTTCATTAACGATTGCAAAGGCACTTATCGAGTTATGAATAGTTAATTCAGACTTAGCGAACGAAAGTTCGTGGAAATCATACTAAAAGTAAAATCAATGTTCTTTCTAGACTATTCCCACCTCTAGTTCCCACCGCTGCAACTCCTGTGTAGCCAGGATCTACAGCTTGACCACCAATAAAAATGCAACCAGTGAAGGTCACGTTTGTCCCACATATTTGGAAATGTCAGATGTATTATCAATAAGATACTTTAATCAACCATTATTGGTCAAACTATGGAGGTATTTGACTGCAATCACTCCTGATATTAAGTGAGATGCATTCTAGGGTGGTACAGTCAGCGTCAAATAGTTTGTGACACCCAAAGTAGCCAAAAAGTTCGCAACACGTCTTTGTTACAATTGTAATAAGGTTTTGTTGTCAACTTTGGGCCACTTTAGGTGTCACAATTTTAGGTGGACGTCTTTCGGCTGAAACGAACGAACGAACCAATGATATTATAGAACTATCTGCTTTTGTTTTTATATAATACTAGCTAGCGGCCGCCCGCGACTTCGTACGCGTGGATCCTGTTTTACCCCCTTTTCCCGAATTTTCTTTGCTATAAACCTCACGGAGCCCGAGACCTTTCCAACGAATGCAAAACCGTGGAAATCGGTTCGTGCGTTCTGGAGTTATAGCGTCAGGGAGGAAAACCCGACTTATTTTTATATAGTAGATCATTGGGTGTCACAAACTATCTGACGCTGCTGTACATACACCTGCCCAGTAAATGCCTCGCCTTGAAGATACCTGGGCTATTTCTATGCTTTTCCCACCATACATTATTAATTAACAACTTTCTGCATTCCCAAAGTATCGATTTTATTATCATGAATGAATAGTTTTAACGAATGAGATGCGTGCATGAATGATTCATCAATAGATCATTGCTACGAGGGCTGCACTAAAAGTATCGGGAATGGAATAGTTCCACTGTTCCAGTCATATTAAAATCTATTNTCATTATTTGTATTAGTTAATTAATTGATTGAAGTTTTCACAAATGTAATTAGTTGAACAAATTCTATTGCCAGGAGCTATTGTGAGCGTCGTCTGCTAATATAATTGTGTTAGGTAATTACATTTTTATTGCAAAATCGAACTTATTTCATTTGCATAAGGTGACGCATTGTTTACCTTGTTGTGTCGTCGTCGGTGCCTTTATGAATGACATATTGACACTGTTAAAATAGTTGAATGTAAGAAATGCAGATGCAAATTAGTTTTAATTTTAACTGTTATAAGATACAGTCAGCGTCAAATAAGTTCGTGACATCTAAAGTAGCCAAAAAGTTCGCAGCACGTCTTTGTTACAAGTAATAAGTGTTGTCTTTGTCAACTTATTGGCCACTGGGTGTCATGAATTATTTGAAGCTGACTGTACTTATGTGCTCTGTTCAGAGACTTTCATTTATTTAATAACTTTTTTAAACAGTATTTTGTTTTCTTTTGTGTAAGATATTTAAAATACAATTTTGCTTCAACCAGTGACTACGGTTGCGTAATATTTTTGCGTTACAAATTACAGCTACTTTCAAATTCATAATTTTTATTATATTCAGTACATTGTATATTTAATTAAAGGAAATTGTTAAGTTGGCTTGTTGCATAAAACATGCCTAATTAATAAAATGTTTCATAAAATTGTTTTTTGTTACAGATACGAAAATGCAGTTAGATTGGAGCAACTTAAGTTATTCGGAATACTCGTCAGCCATTACAGTACTCAGGTATTAATTTATTTATTAAATACTAGCTTTCCGACCGCAGCTTCGCCCGCGCGAAAGTTTGTCTGTCACAGAAAAACTTTATCGCGCGCGTCCCTGTTTCAAAAACCGGGATAAAAACTATCCTATGTCCTTTCCCGGGACTCAAACTATCCCTATGCCATAATTTCAGCAAAATCGGTTCAGTGGTTTAGGCGTGAAAGCGACACAGACAGACAAGAGTTATTTTTGCATTTATAATATTAGTACGGATGATTTATTTTCGTCAGCTTGAAGATATATTACACGCATTTCGATTACAGTTAGTCGTAGTGCTATAACTGTAATAATTACAATTATAATTATGTAGGTACAATACCCGCTTCCGAAGTATGTTTCACGCTTAAAGTTTATCAATCTATATTCTAGAATTAAATACTGCAGAAAATTATGGACCTATACTGACTGATATTGGTAGGGCTCAAAAGATAAGGGGACATGTTTGTAAAGACCCACTTATGGGCTACATTTTTAAATTATTTATACATAATATAAGTGGGCCACAGTAACTACAGCTAGGTACCCACCCATTCCTGTTTTTTTGTCTCGCTCTCATCAATTAGAGATTCTTTGCGATAGAACGACACGACATGACCGGAAATGGGTAGATGCAAGTGTAGGTACATAAGCCACATCTTCGTGAGAATTTATGAAAGATATTTCATTTATTTTAATTTTAATGATATAAAACAATCTCAGTGTCTATGTAAGTTGTATAAATATTGCGAACACGCACCGATCCGCGGTAAGAGGCTAGTTAATAAATAATTAAATGTATAAGTGATTTGCACTCGACACGGCCTGCAACAAAACCGCAATCGACCGTATCAGATTTATTCATTGTTGTAATCACAAGTAAGTAATAAATAGAAAAATATTGCTCTAAATTAAATATCAATTTCGTTTATTAACAGTTACACGAAAGAGTACTGTTGAGATCAATATGTGTAAAACAAAGTAATTAAATTATTAAAAAGTTCATTACTGTCAAGAAAAACAACTGCTGAAAACCAGTTTCAAGACATATGTAATGTCCTGATTAAAACTGAATGAGCACATATTATTACACAGTTAGTTTAGTTTCTAGTTTAATTTGTTTTATTAATACTTATTATTAGGTTTATTCATAAATATCAGCCGTGCTTGCAGTGTGGTGACGGCAGAGTAGAATACATTTGTCACCAACCCCTACTCTTCCCGCGGGTGTCGTAAGAGGCGACTTAGGGACTACACATCAAACAGAGAACGGGCAGCAGCGCTCTCTGACAAACATCAATTTTATAAACTGCGATCTCCAACCCGCCTGCCAAGTGTGGAGATTATGGAAAAACCCTCCACCATAGTGGAGGAGGCTCATAGTCCAGCAGTGAACTGTAAAGGGTTGTTGATCAGCCGTGCAGTCCCGGCTAAAGTGTAAAATAGGATTACCCCCATTCTTCGAGACACACACAATCACAGTATACACAAACGCACTTTAATACATTACAATTTATTATTATTATTATGTACACACACACAGTTTTGTTTTTTAAATATTATCTTTTTATTTATAAATATCTTATCACATCTTTTCTACTTCGTCTATATTGTATATTATTATTTTCTACTACGTCTGTATTTACACTTAAAATTATTATTTATGTACGTATATTTTATGCAGTATAGGTTAGTGTCCGTGACTCTCACTCGGCATGGGGCACACTGAAAACCAGCGTCGTGGCCTCCCTCACCGGGGGCCATGGCATATGCTGAGTGGGGTCCCATTGCGATGGGCATCGCTGTGCGACAGGGTGGCACTGCTTAGTTTACTTGCTCATTCATTGTATGTTTTATGTCACCTCTGTCTCATTTGCTTTTTTTTTATTTTACCTCTTTTGTCTTTTGTGATGTCCATGGCAATAAATGTTTCTTTCTTTCTTTCTTTCCATTCTGCCCGTGGAAGTCGTAAAAGGCGACTAAGGGAGAAATCCTTGGCAAATCTTCCATTTGGCCTCTGGTAAATTGAGGAGTCGTGTTCCTGCAGTGGAGACTATATGACATGATGATGACTTGGTTTATGTTTGTCGAAAAAGTTCTTACATATCTCTATCTACCATTGATAGAAATTTATGTTGAAATCAAATGATTTGATTTGTTCTTTTCTAGGTGATAGCAGCAGAACCTTTCCTCAGGCCATTGCTAAAGTTGCTCAGCGGCTTCCGAAATGAGTTACCACCACCCAACTTGGAAAGTGAGTATCTGACTGTTACATGAAGCTAAACAAGAATAAATACTAAGCGTTTCGATAACTCTTTTATAATGCGAACAGCCAGGGAATTCGCTGCCTGCAGAGCCCCGATTACGGTAATTTTTAACGTCAACAATCCAGACACGCTTCTCGATTCTGCGATACGATTGGTCGTTCAACAGCGTACGTCAGCTGTTTTGACCAATCGTATTGCAGAATCAGAAACGCGTCTGGATTGTAGACGTTAAAAGTTACCGTAATCGGGGCTCTGCTTGTCTTTCCCGAACACTATAATCCGGGCCTTTTCAAGGCGAGAGTGAATAGGCACTTACAGGGCTATGTACCATCCTAGACTGCATCTCACTTAACACCAGGTGCGATAGCGGTCAAATACTTGCCTTGTTTATAAAAAAAAACATTGTGCCATCTAATGCAGTTATAATAGCTATTATGTGCAAGCGATTGTACTTTTATTTATGTAGGTATGTTACTTTTAACGGCATTGGTTCGGTTATGTAAAATGCAAAAAGAGTTTTAAGTTCCCCAAGGCATGTGCAGCCCTAAAAGTCAAGATAAAGGCGCAGACCTTTGCAGTCTATTTCAATTTGGCACTCGACGCAAACACCCTGTATCATTATTTTTTTTTATTACAGACCAACTAGTGACCGTCCTAAACCAGTTATGTGTGGCGTTGATGCAGAATATGAAGTTCTTAGATCTGTTCTTTTTAACGACGCACACGCAAAACGGATCGCAAGCTGAGTAAGTATGACTAGTACTACTGTTCACAAAGAGATTGTAAATGCAGAAACTCCTACGGACAAAACCGTGAAATGAAATCTGAAAGATAAAAATGCTTCTGTTTTCTTATGTAGTTTTTTGTTGTTATGTACTTTTAATTTGGGCTGTAGTCGAATGATATTAATTAGAAGATTAATTTCGTCACCACTTGTAATCCCCATCGTACACTAGCCCACAGATTGAACTTACTCTCAGAAATACACAGGATATTGATTTTAGACTAAAACATGATCATGAGATGTCATCTAAACAATCAGACAAATAAAAGCCACGTTGCGTTGGTCAGATTTAGCCATCAGCTCATAACGTGTGACCCAAAGGCTGTTACAACAACCTATAAGATTTAAGTAGATGAATACAGACGCTATTAATGTACCAAAACATCCCCAGGTTCATAATAGTCCGGCTGCTGCTTACTTCGGTACATCGAGAGGGCGCCACTGGGTCGGCGGCGCGTGACGCGCTACTGCTATGCGCGAATATGTCATCTCGATGCACGCAACTAGCTGACTACATGCTGGCTGGAAACACTTGTCCTGTTTTGGCTACTGGTGAGTATAAGAGTAGGCGCACACCGTTGATTTTTAGTTGGCCGATAGTTGTGCCCGATTTTAAACTGTATGAAGAATCGGCCAAATCGAATCGGCGTAGTGTGCGCACTCCCATACATGCCCATACTGATCAACTGCCCGCAAGGGATCGTAGATCGCGCGGCCAAATGCTTCGGGAAGATGTCGCGTGTGTCGGCGTCTTCCTGGGGCATTCGTTACCCAGGCCTTCGCATCTTGTACCAGGGCACTTTTGTTGCAACCCTTGTGTATGCAGCGGCATGCTGGTACGAGCGCCTCTCGGTGCAGTCCATGCGCACCACTATTCTCCGGGGGCAGCGGCCTGCACTGGTGCTACTGACCAAAGCTTATCGGTCGGTCAGCACAGCCGCGCTCCCGGTGCTTGCTGGCGTATTACCCGCGGACTTGGAGGTTTCCCGCGCTGGCATGACGGACGTGGCCCGCAGGGACACGCCCAGGGACGCGATGGGCAGACGGAAACGACAAATTTTGGACTCGGTGCTGGATACTTGGCAGACCAGATGGGAGGGGGAGACGAAGGGTCGTGAGCTCTTCCAATTCTTCCCCGACGTGGCTGGCAGACTCGGCATGCGCTGGGTCGTACCAGATTTTGTTACTTCTCAGATACTTACGGGGCATGGGTGCTTTAACAAGCGCCTGTGCGATATGTGTCTCCGGACCGCCGCGGAATGCGAATGTGGGGAACGTGAAGAGGACAGGCACCACGTTCTGTGGTCCTGCCCTTTGTACGAAGACTTACGCCAAGCTCTGCTTCAAGGAATCGTGCTCGAGAGACCCGGACCTGCCTGGTACTCCGATCTCGTCTCTTCGGAGGCGAACTTCGCCCGGCTGCGCGAATTTGCGTACGGCTGGCATAGGAGGAGAACCGCTAGCGCTGCACGGCACCAGATGGTGTCATCCGTGGAGTGATCGTCAGGCCCCAGAAGGGGGAGAACTGTATCATAGGGACAAGGACGTAGATAAATAACTTGTAGGGAGTCAAGAAGTGTGGCGCGGTGGAGTGCAATCTGCCCTAGGCAGCCGCAATTCCGCGCACACCTCCCGCGATTCGGCCAGTATAACCGCAAGGTTGGTATGGCCATGGGTGGTGGTGGGTTGATCAACTGCCCGACTAAACTATCGGCCAACTAAAAATCAACGGTGCGCGCCTACTCTAAAAGATTCGAGACGAACATTTCTAGAGCCTAGAAAAAGTCTTTTGACTACCTAGAGGGCGCCACTGGATCAAGCGCGAAGCACTGCTGCTATGAGCGAATATTAATGTCATCGCGAAGCACGCAACTTGTAGACTACTCATTCTTTGTGGCAATACCAAACTTGAGCCGATTATGACCTTACTCTGACAATCGATTTAATTTTGCATTGTCACATCAATATGGCGGCAACTAGTTTAGTCGCCATGTTGAAATTGATGTCGCTATTCGCCGTCATTCACTAAAACCATCCGTGAGTTTTCTCTATCTCCTATTAGTGATCTCTGAAGAAATTATTGATGCTTACTACGAAGCCTTATTTAGTATTTATTTTTCCACCAGGTCTAAGCGGTCTCTACTCCCTCCTACCGCGAACACTAGGCGAGAAAGTCCATCGTTTGACGCCAGATGACGTCAACAAAGTCAACAAGCTCACTCTCTTCATAGACTCGCTTGAGTTTTGCAATGCTGTCGCGCAGGTAATCCATCTATCTAAAATCAATACTAGTATTATGATTATGTCATCATCATCTGGTCATGGGCCCAGGGTATGAGCACGACCCTCGAATCCCATAATCATTTCAGCCACAGGAAGTCCATTGCTCAATATAGGTCTCCCCCAATGATTTCCACATAGCCCATTAGTTAACTTTCGAATTTACCAGAGGCAAATGGTAGATTTGGCCTACACGCTTCACGCTGGCCAGATTTGTTTATTTATTTATACTTCAATGCCAAAAATATTAACATTAGGCGAACTTAATGCCATAAAGCATTCTCATCCAGTTTACCTTTTGGTTAAAACATCCAGATGAGTCGGGGAGGCCTGATGTTTGCATATTTCTCTCTTAGTCGCACCAATATGCAGTGACGTGCGATTGAATGTATTCTGTTAATTTGAATGTGCTCATTATCCATTGCGGTATCAGTACTCAACGTTCAAATAATCTTTAGTACTTCGCAAGCAATGTAAATTGTTTACACATAATAACGTCGCTGCTGTCATTATTGCTGTTGCGAGAAATGTGTTGTGTTTTTGGGCATATTGGCGACACTGGCCCCGCCCCCTTTTCGTATCTCCCTTTAGTTTCTGTGATCTGTGGTACAAGACAATTTCTCATACAAATTAGAAGATCAAACTACCCACCGATAAAAGTATGTAGTCTGCGGGGTCTTAAGATTTTTTATTTAATTTAATTTATATGGTTTCTAGGTTGCCCATCCGTCCATTAAGAAGCACCTGCTAGACTTGCTATACCAAGGATTCCTAGTTCCCGTCCTAGGGCCGGCTCTCCTACAGGTAAGGTCCAACATTCAATGCTTGGTGAGGGCAGAGTGATGGGCTAATATGGGGTTTATTCCATTATGATCCGTGCGCCGTTGGCATAAGAACTGTTTTATGGAAGCTTTAAAGCTGGAAGCTGAATTTGTATCAAAATTGAATAAACAATAGTCTTTAAATGTGATTTTTTGAGAACATGAACTATGAACATTGTATTTTTGAACACACTTCTATTAAAAATAATTAATTGCAAGTAAATGGTGATTATAATTTACTTTATTGATCACAATTTTGATAAAAACATAAAAAAAATACAGTGTTTATTATGGGGACCCAACGCCAATTCATATATTTGAAACATATAAAATATCAAAATTCCATCGTTTTGCCTTAGAACTTATCTAAAGATATTACGATTCAAAATTGAATTCTTCGTTCAATTCATACAATTTGAAAACTATATTGAAGATAACACTTTTTTATTAAAGTAGGTTACCTACTCGCATTTCAAAGTTAAAAATAAACAGTTAAACTATAGGTATAGCTTAACTGAATCAGTGCTTGAGGCATAGAAGCGGCACGAGAGGTGTGACATTGACATATTTTTATGACCAGTGGTGGGTTATCGAACTGGTGGTGCACTTTAATAAAATATTAAAATAACAAAAAATAAAAACTATCAAAAATTTACGCGCGAATAATCATGAATGATGAAATTAATCATGGCTGCCGTGTCGCCTCGCGCCCATACCGGCCGTCGGCAAACATCGGTTGCTCTCGGCAATCTTCGAGTCGCCGTGCGGCGCTCGAGAACCGACTCTTTTCTCGGTACATTTCTATGAACTATCTTTTGTCTCACGCGCCAGACGTATTAGCTCGCATCTCATACAAGTTATAATATTATGAGCTGTCCGCGTGCGCTCGCCGAAGCGCACGAGAATTTGTCTTTACAGAAAAATAAGTCTTTTTTTTATTTTTTATTTATTTATTTGGGATAATTGGAAATATAACTTTTTGTACGATTTGTATATTTATTAAATGGTAATTTTAAAATATAGATGAGGTAATACTTATTTGATATAATTTAAATATTTTTTCGGTGGTTCAGCGCACGAGCGCACTTAATGTACAGCCCCCACTGATTATGACGTGACAGAGCATACAAATCTGATGGAGATCTGAAGTCTCGCTGACGTTTGACCGTTACAAAACACCCTTCCGTGCCGCTCTCATACCTCAGGCACTCACTCATTTAATCGCTAGATCTATGACTTAGGCCTCAGCCTCGAATTTAGCGGGCAGCGGCGCGGGAGCGGGGCGGGCAACGCAGACCCGTTCTCGAAACAAGCGGGCAGCTCGAGCGGCGGTTTAGCGGCGAAGTGTTATGTTTGGGGTTGTGTACTCGAGATATTTGTTTTTATTCGCAAACAAAATGTCTGAACAACGGCGACAATTTTATTTCGATTCAAATTTATTCCTAACGCTCGATTTATTGTGGGCAAAAGAAGGAGTGCGCTGCCCGCTCGTTGCCCGCTCCCGCGCCGCTGTTTTCGAGAACCGGTCTATTTGATTTTACGCATAAGATCCTGCCGCTCCCGCGCCGCTACCGCCGCCGCCCCGCTGCCCGCTAAATTGGAGGCTGAGGCCTTAGATTTTTTTAAACTAAACTAGCGTGGGATGAATTGTATGTGTGAAGGTGTGAATACTCGAGCACAAACTAACAGACTAATATGTTTTTTGCAGTACTGGCAGGTGAAGAAGTAACCAATGAGTTTTGTATAAAACATTATTAACAATGCACTAGTGTCAGTTATGTGCACAATTCTTGCCAGAATATTCATTTTTTCGAACAATACACTATTTTTAAATAATATCCAGCAAATTAACATTGAATTTGCTAATTATCTATTTATGATACTTTAATCGTTCATAATGATTCAATGAAGCGTTTTATAACTAAAACTATGTCCTTGAACTGCTAGAATCGGTCTCGTTTTTAATTGACATTGCAAATTATGCCTTATCTTATTCTGTTACGGTTATTTCTTGAGTGCATTAGAAGCTTGGCAAACATAAATTATTTTAAAGATGACGATAAAAGCAGTAATTTTCTATTTATGAAAATAGCAACTAAATATTACGGTAATGCTATGAGATAAGGTTTAATTTCGCATAGACCAGTACTTAAATCGCAAATAACTTGCATTTACTTTTTAAAAATCAGGACTCTCGGAGCCTTTTTCGAACAGGCAGATGATTTTTCTAAATACTGAAATATTTTAAACAAAAGAAAATCAATGCTTAATACCAACTGAAGCTTAATCGACTTTGCAAAATCATACTTTTATCCTAAGGCTATGCGCGCATGGATGACTTTTTGTCACTGTGACAGTATATCTTTCTCTTTTACACTTATACAGAGAAAAAGAGAGAACGTAGTACTTATTCTTATCTATGGAGAGACATACTGTCACGGTGACAAAAGTCACCTGTTCGCGCGTGCATACGTCATAAGAATCACGGGGCTTTCATTGCACGCACGGGATTGGTGGAGCGCACACATCATCACGCAAAACCAAGTCTCGGGTTGAGTGACAGTGAGTTCGATTTTGTAACTTATGTTGTGGGTTGTTGGGTGAATTTTTGGCGGGTGATGGTAATTTTTTCGTTCGCTTTATTGTGATGTTTTTTTTGTCCTTTATTAGACCTGATTTTTCAATCACCGGATAACTTTTAACTGAAGAATAAGTTTGGCATATTGACAGTATGGGAAATAAGTCAAAATGACAAGTTTATTCTTCAGTTAAAAGATATCTGGCGATTGAAAAATCAGCCCATAGATAACGATTATGATTCATATTTGAATGTCATAGTTAGTAATAGTTTGGTAATTCCTGGTTTGGATTTTTTGTTTTAAACCTTACTTTTTACTCCTGTTTTTTGTAGTTTTTCCTTATTTAACTATCTCCCTTCTTATGTCATTAAACTGTGTGGTAGTAGCCATCTTTGTTTGGTAGTCTTATCCTTTCTTCCAAAAAACCGTATCTAACCCACACCCCAACACTACGACTGTCACTCGATGCGATGAGCCCTACTAATTCCGTGCGTACCATAGACGAAACGGGGGCCATTGCAGAGTGGCGCCACCGAGCAGGCGGCCGCTATGGCGTATCTTGAACTGGTGCTGCGCTGTGTGACGCAAAGAGGATTGCTAAGGGCAGTTCTGCACTTCCTATTCACGTATGAGTATGACGGTGTACGAGTCGCCGATGTTTTGCTGAGGAGACTGGAGGGGAATTCGCAGGTGAGTGGAATACAGTTAAATAATCCTCTTGAGTTTCTTCATATTATCATTTACGCGACTATTTCCTTTTGCCAGCATTTATGAGTGGGAATGCAAAAATGCGCAAATGGTGTAGTCAGTACACCCGTTAAGGCGATACTTCATAAAATTTTGATAGTTGTGTCCATCACTTACTAAAGAGAGTGTGATCAGATAAAATTCAAGGCCACTTCATGGTTTTAAAAGTAGGACACTAGTTGAAAAACTTGATCCATTAAATTCGTCATCGTCTGCTGATAAGTCGCTACGTCGTTTGATATGTCTTTTATCTAGAAAAACTTGAACTATAGTTTACTACTGCTTCAAGGTAATAAATTAGCGGAAAATTAATAATCAACTTGTGACCCAGTAAATTAAAACAAACCCAATGGTTTTCAATAAAAATATTTTTATTTTTTACTCACTTTAATTACTTTTGCTATTTCAGCTGGCTCTAGTATCCCTGTCTTTAATGGAGACCCTCATCGACCTGAACTGCGAGGATGTCATGATAGACCTCGTCTACAAACACCTCATCAACGGCCATCATCTCATGGTGGCCCATAGACACAAGATCTCCGACCCGCAGCCTTACAGAGACGCGGCTATGGCCTTCCTGAGTTTAACACCAAGGTGCTGCAGTAGACCCTTGGAGAAGACCAGGGAATGGGTCGATGAGATGGCACTGAGTGGAAGAAGAGTGTTGGATTTCAAGCAGGAGGAAGAAAGGAGAATCAATGGCGTGAATGAGGGTATAGCGATGAAAAGTCTAGTCCAGGAAGTTAGATTTAATTATGGGGTACGTTAAAATTTATGTTTATATTTACTGTCTTTCTTCAGATAAGCGTCTACCTTAGTGTTGAAAATGACCAAAGCGGCTGAATTTGACTGACCGTCATTTACGGTCAAATTGGTCAAAAACGGTCAAAACAAGTCATTAACTGTCAAAAACGGTCAATTTCGGTCAATTCGATATCAGTAATAGTTAAATACTTTTTTAAGATTAAATTGGACACCTAAATAAATAAATTATTCGGTGGTAGTACAGTAATATTGAGTCAAATTGACTGAATTTGACCGTTTTTGACCGGTCATATTATGGTATTTGACCATCGTGGCCGGTCAGATTCAGTCAATTTACATCTTTAGTCTTTCTGAATAAAAAAAATGTTAATAAAATATTACTTAAACCTTTTTTGTCACCTGTCAACCGCTTTCCACTGGAGGGAAGTCGAACCTTAACTTGGAACTATGTTCTTCTGATTAATTTCGTTGCGAGTCCATTGACAATTTAACTTTACCCCGAGACATTTGACCTTCACTAGTTGGGTTTTTATTGGCGGCCACGCTGTAAATTCTGGCTACACAAGAGTTGTAGCGGTGGGAACGAGGGGTGGGAATACTCGTAGTCCCGTTATAATATAATATTAACACAACAATAATTATTTTGTCTTGTTCTAGAACCCAAACGAAACACTCTTCGCGAACTACCACGCTTACTTATGCGACGCTAGATTCGAACTCGTTTCACGCACAATAGCTTGCACCAATTGGTCGTCCAAATACGACAGCGTGACGTCACCGAAGCGCGAAACGAATAACAACACGAAAGAAACGAGAGAGGTAGACGTCCACGCTTTGAAAGAGCAGGACAGCCTGATTTCGTGCACAAGCGGTTACGATACCTTAAAAACAAGTGACACGAGTGACAAAGAACCGCACAGTTTGACGTCTCTGTTAGAACAGGAGACAGAGAAAGCCAATCAGTTGGAGAAGGAAGGAGATAGTTTGTCTGTTGGGGAGAGCAGTGATTATGAAAGCTTTCGGTATAAAGATGATAATGAGGACGAGGGTTTCGCTGAGGAGTCGTTCAGAAAGTACTTTGATAAAGAGAATGCGGTGGAGTTTAATGGTGAAGTGCCTTTAGTCAGGAGTTGGAAAGCTAGCTCTGAATCTATTATAGGTAAGTGTTTTGTTATTTTGTCATCATCATCATCATTTTAGTCTAAAGACGTCCACTGCTGAACATAGGCCTCCCCCAATGATTTCCATATCGCCCGATTGGTATCCCCCTGCTACCTTTATGAGGTCGTCGGTCCACCTTGTGGGGGTTACGGTACGTCATGTCCAAAGCCACCATGTACGTCACTGTTCAGCGACAGTTCACTAGAAAGTGACGGTGTAAGCGATCACAATCATTAACATATTAATTACTTTCTTCTTTTTCCAGGTCCGCTCCTTAGCAGTATGTTAAGAAAAGTGGCTTCCATGCTGGAGTCAGAAATAACTGTGAACAGCCGAGTGACGAGTGTCGTGTCAAAGCTAGCTTCGCTACCGACGCCTCTTCTGACGTCACTGCTGCTGTGTCCCAGTTACATGCTACCACCGAATGTGCCTTCGCTGTACCAGGTACGAACTATATCCTAGCCAGTGCCTTAGAGTACAAGTGACAGGTAGCAACTGAGTGACAAGCCTTGTGTCACTCGCTGCCGACGCTGCTGCTGACGTCACCGCTGCTGTGTCCCAGTTACATACTACCGCCGAATGTGCCTTCGCTGTACCAGGTAAGAACTATATCCTAGCCAGTGCCTTAGAGTACAAGTGACAAGTAGCAACTGAGTGACAAGCCTTGTGTCACTTGCTGCCGACGCCGCTGCTGACGTCACTGCTGCTGTGTCCCAGTTATATGCTACCGCCGAATGTGCCTTCGCTGTACCAGGTACGAACTATATCCTAGCCAGTGCCTTAGAGTACAAGTGACAAGTAGCAACTGAGTGACAAGCCTTGTGTCACTTGCTGCCGACGCCGCTGCTGTGTCCCAGTTACATGCTACCGCCGAATGTGCCTTCGCTCTATCAGGTACGGATTGTATCCTAGCCAATACCTTATACTATAAGCTAATACTATAAGCTCTCTGTACTCTATAAGGCTTATAGAGTACAGAGGGCTTAGTTTACATCAAACGTCGTCACTAGCGTTAAAAAAATATATGAAGATTTTAGTTTTTGAAAGTTTCCGCTAGGGGCGCTGTACAATCCGTCATACATTTAATGTCACTTTTTTACGCAGTCGACATCGAATGCATTTGACGTAAACTCACACTATAGATGTCCCACACTGAACTGTCCCACCAAACTCAATGAAAGGGGGGCGCTACCATCGTTCAACTATATGGTTTCCAACATGGCAAAAATCGGAAACAGCGATCCGGTATTGACGGTGGCGCCCCACTGTCAATGTCATGCATAGGACAGTTCAGTATTTTGGAACTATACGCCCAAATGACAGGTAACAGTCGAGTAACGAGTGTCATGTCAAAACATCGCTGCTGCTTTATAAAACGTAGTCAAAAGTGATTTAAAATGTTTAAAACATAGCCCTACATTAGGATTCTTAAAGAAACTGGCTAATTTACTCTCATTATTTATTTCAGATACTTAGCAAACTAAGGGACGAAGTGGACGAGCTTACCACCGGCCTGGACAATACTATGGAGCTGGTGGACAAGGCGAGGGTCTTCCTCATCCAGCGCGAGATGGCGTTAGTGAACTCGCGGGGGCCGACGAACGAAGATAGTAAGTTATACCGAAACATATCTCAGCTAAAGCCCGGTCTGTGAGCACGTATAATTTTGTCCAATGACCCCTAGCTACCCATCCTTATCGCTCGCGCGTAATTATAATGCTGTCGCGACTGTGCGACGGGCGCCCGCAGTGAGTGTGCGAGCGCGATAGCAACATAATTACGCGCGAGCAATAAGGATGGGTAGCTTGGGGTCATTGGACAAAATTCTACATGATCACAGACCAGACTATACAACATTCGTGAAGTTTCCCGAAGTACATCAAAGATAGTGTAGACCCGCACTTAACTTCGAACAACCTCGCTTCGCCTCGCCCGACTTCTGATTGTTGTCGACATTGCGCCTGAGTCTAAATGCCCGAAGCGTTTTGATAGTAGGGAATTTAGTGCAATGATTTGTATGGAGACCCCTCCACTTTGGTATAGAAGGCTCATTTTTGCAACAGTGTTTCTTTGGGTGCTCCTGAGTGGAATTCCGTCGGTAGACATCGGGAGCCCCCTCTGTGGTAGCAGGGGGAGGGGGGGCAAGTTTCCTTCCGCCGCGCTTCACTTTAAGGCCTATATCTTCAAAACTATGGGTATTAGGGCAAGTGTGGTATCATTTTCGGATAATTTAAGGATGGCGAATTCATTTCTAGAACAAACTTTTTGCCTTTTTGTACAAAAAAATTGAAATATTGAGTAAAATTCACAAAAATGAAAAAGTATTTTTTTTAAATAAACGTCGTTTACTTTTAAACCACTGGTGATAATCTAATAAAAAAAATATGACCTGAAAGCTACATTTATCAGAATTATAAAAATATAACATTGTATGATACTTTTTTTGCAATAAGTAGGTGAAAAAAAATTTTTCTTCAGGACACAGCGGGCGAATTTTATTGCGCATCGGAAAAAAATATTTATTTTATCCATGAATTCATACTATTTGGTTCATAAGCAAGCAAGAATTATTATTTTAGAATTTATTTAGAGTTGCCGGCACATCAATCTACCATNTCTAAATAAATTCTAAAATAATAATTCTTGCTTGCTTATGAACCAAATAGTATGAATTCATGGATAAAATAAATATTTTTATACGATGCGCAATAAAATTTGCCCGCTGTGTCCTGAAGAAAAATTTTTTTTCACCTACTTATTGCAAAAAAAGTACCATACAATGTTATATTTTTATAATCCTGATAAATGTAGCTTTCAGGTCATATTTTTTTTATTAGATTATCTCCAGTGGTTTAAAAGTAAACGACGTTTATTTAAAAAAATACTTTTTCATTTTTGTGAATTTTACTCAATATTTCTATTTTTTTGTATGAAAAGGCAAAAAGTTTGTTCTAGAAATGAATTCGCCATCCTTAAATTATCCGAAAATGATACCACACTTGCCCTAATACCCATAGTTTTGAAGATATGGGCCTTAAAGTGAAGCGCGGCGGAAGGAAACTTGCCCCCCCTCCCCCTGCTACCACAGGGGGGGGCTCCCGATGTCTACCGACGGAATTCCACTCAGGAGCACCCAAAGAAACACTGTTGCAAAAATGAGCCTTCTATACCAAAGTGGAGGGGTTCTTGCACTAAATTCCCTACTATGAAGTTTGAACGCGAAATGTTAAGGGGGTGCAGCGCGGACGAAAAACTACGACTTGATAGCCGAGCTAGCGGTGGCGCAACGAACTAACAAGATCGCACACAAACTGCTTTACAGAGTAGAGACAAAAAAGACTCAACACAGAGTAAAAACACGTATTTTCACTAATTTTGCTGAGCAAAAAGTGAATTTATATACATAAAGGATGGTTAATTATTTTAATTAGGAAAAAAGGAAGGATTTGATTTTTGTTTGTATTGCTGCAAAAATTCTTACACAATTAGAATCATATATTAATTATTTTGATGAACATAGGCGTTAAAAAAGTTTCGTAAAAGAGTATTTTTCCTAGACGTTCAATTCAAATAGGCTGTGTAGCGTCTTTCCATTCTATACATGGCCAAAACGCAAGGGTGTGAAAATAATCGAGTAATAGTTTGGAAATAACTATTTTACTAATCTCTTCCAAACTATTCTCGGCGTCAAATAAATCGCACCTCCCGCGACAAGCACTTTCAATATTGGTACCATTTGACAGCCTAGTTCTAAACTTCATTTCATTTCAAGAAAAGGTTTTACCCTAAAAATGTGTCTTTAGAAGGATCCAGTGTCTTTTCTTAAAGCGATAGGTAGTTACGCTTGAGCCAACTTTTATGGTTATAAGAGTATTTCTCAAAAAAAATGTACGTAACGAAACGGTAGTAACGAAATAGTAAGGCCATAAGGCTTGTTATACATTGGCGAAATATTGTGAATGCTCTTCATTTATTCAATTCGAAATATTTGTAAGTATGCACCCAAATACGGGGTAATATTAAGGGGTTAGAAATAAAATAAGGGAGTAATCATTCATACTATTTTAATAAAATTATTTTTGTTCAATCATGTCTTCAAAGTTATTGTGCGATTTATTTGATGCCGAGTGTATTATGAGCAGTACGCAAATACCGCTAAATAGAAATAATGTTATGAATTTATTTATTTAATCTTACCAAATAAATTTATTTTGAAAAACCACGTACTTGCAAGAGTGTTAAAAATCTAGTTTTATATCGATTTGATAAAATAAGAAGTAAGTAATAGCAAATAAAATTAATCTTAAATGTAATTCTATATTATTATATTTTAACGGAATTTTACTGAATAAGTATCAAACTAAATTTTTAACACTCTTGTCAAGTGTAAGAGGTGAATAATAGTTTGGAGCAAAGACGCAAGCATCCACGATACAAATTATACACGATCAGCCCCCCTAGACAATTTGCATTTTTTTTTATCGAATTGAAAACCGAATCCGTTTTTGACACTCTTTTCGACTGGTTTGCGATTATAATGTGCACTATGTCTAGACCCACAGTACCCATCAATTACTTAGTTATTTATACTAGCTGGCTTAGCTTTTGCGTGAAAGAGTAACAAACATCCAGACATCCAAACTTTGGCATTTATAATATTAGTGGGACTATTTTCAAACATTTCTATACTGAAACATAATATTATGAAAATGACAGAAAATGGAATATGGTAAGTTGTAGGTACGGCAGAGAAAGGTTGCAAGGGTTTTCTAGCCATAATATCTAAAATAAGTAAAATATTTTTCGTAACAATCGAAGTCATAACAAAAGATATACTATTTGCACGCTCTGCTGTCTACACTACTCTGTAAAGGATTGACAAACACACATTTGACACTCGACAGCTACGATAAAGCAAAACGCCTGTACATTTCTTCACGGCAAAGTTTTTTTGGGAAAATCAAAAATTCTCAATATTAATGCATTAATACCAAAAACGAAAAAGGGGGCGACCTTCAAAATATTAATTTGAACATTTCCATATAAGAATTATTGCTTCATACGTTAAATTAACAAAGTTCTCGAAGAAATAAATTTTCCATATGTCTCCATTTTAAATGTTGTTTATCAATTTTTTACGTATTTATTTAAAATTTCGAAAAGGCGGCGACCTAGAGCAAGGATTGACCTACCCTAAACAAGTTCATTTGATGAATTTAAGTCACTAATCGCAGAGCACTCGTGATTTAAAAATATGTCAATTTTAAAGATTCTGTGCAGGACCCCCTTAAGCTAAGCTAAGCTAACAACGTAACTAACTTAGCTAACCGTTCGTTAAGCTAGCACCCATAACACAAGCATATTAATTGCTTACTTTGGGGCCAGATAGCGCTGTGAAAAAAAAGGTTGACTACGCAGCATACTTAGGTACTTCGTACAAACTCGGTTCGGTACTCGGTAAGCAAGTAGTGGAGCTGAGGTAGGTATGACGAGCTTTAAGCTAAGTTAGTGGGGCTGTCAACTGTACTTTTTAGGTATCAAATTCATATGAACATTTAGAGAACAATGGTTTGTTTACAGGTCAAGCCCGTAATGATTCACCGACGCAAAAGATTGAGGAGGTGTCGCCTTTCCGAAGAGTCGAGACGAAAAGGCGGAGCCTGTCTTCGAGCTTCTCTAGTATGTTTGGAAGAAAAACACCCTGTAAGTATATGTTGAAATACAATAATTTTGACGCATGGCTGACACATAAACACACTTAGGCTGAGTTGCACCACCTAACTTTGACCGTAAAACTATGACGATAACCGGTGTTTTTTGTATGGAGTTAGACAGATTTTTGACGTTGGTCAAAGTTAAAGTAAGATGGTGCAACCCAGCCTTAAACTTAGGATTTCAAATAAAAACTAAAGACTTGTGAGTAGAGTCCATTAAGTTTTTGTTTTCAATTCGTCAGATTAACGAACGATGCATTTTGCATTGCGAAATGAGGCAACTGACATTAAAAAATCTAAATCCAAGCCGTGTCGATTTTTTATACAAACATAAAAATCCAATCAATCCTCTTTCAGCATCGCCGTCACAGCAAAACTCTTTAAACGTACAACCTGCCACCTTCCACGCGAGTCCACAGCGCCGGTTCATCTTCACCCAAGAGGCATACTGGAGCCAAACCATCACCCTTCGCTCGATTCTAAACGCCGTCCTAATAGACGAGTGGCTTAAGGAACTCGCTGCCATGTGCGAAGAACACGCCCTAAGGCTATCAGCTGACAATTACGAGGATGACACATATATTCGCTCTGTGGCATTATGACTGACGGCCAATGCCGCGGGCGGCTTCAGAAAAAACAAAAAGCCCGCGCGTGCATCGGAACGTTCCAACGACACGTCTTTGTAGTGCGTTTCGTTTCACGCAATCTAGTTTCAAATTCTAACGTGATATATGGCATTTTGACTTTGAAAACGTAACGTGTAGATTTTTTAGTGTTTTTAAATGTTTGTCGTCAATTAACGAACCCGTGATATAATTTATAAATTAAGGCTGTATAATTTATACTGCTCAAATGAATAGTAGAAAATATGGACAAAAGTACATTTTCAGCATTTTAATGTTTTTTTTAGTAAATTAAATTTCGAAACGCATTATAAAAATGTTTCAATTGAATTTTAAATGAAAGTAAGTTGTCTACTGAATGTACACTAATTTTATTAAAGTAAATGAAACGATTGAACAAGTTTCATGATACAAAGCTATTAAATATTTCTATTCTTATGCGCATGCCTTTTAGAACTTAGTCTTAAGTTAATTTTAAAATTCGCCTGTAACGTTTTTCTAAGGGTCATCTCCCACGACACATTTTTGACAATCAAAAAACCAGTAACGCCTATTTAACACTACTTCTGTTCAATGTAGCAATTTCTCATGACAAAAGCATGAAAATTGAACAAAATTACAGGAATCGTAGTATAGCGATCTTAAGGTATTTTACAACGAAGTGAAAGATTAACTTAAGACTCGTGGGCGATCGCCTTTAGTAAAACCGTTACACTTTTTGAAGTACATTTCCCCCTTAAACTTTCGGTTTGAATTATTTGAAAATTCTACTTAACGTAGCGTAGCGATTCATTAGTTTTTTCGAAATCGGTAGCCATCGAAAAATTACTGATTTAAAATTTATTTTCCAAGTAAAGGGGTGAGTAGATAATTACTTTTCTTAAGGTTTGTTGGCGGATGAATTTGTTTGGTAATAATAAGCACAAAAAATACAAAAATACGTACTTAGATATTTCGCTACTATGCACAAAATATTCATACAAACAAACAAAAAAAATCACTTGAATTGGAACCTCCTACTTTTTTGAAGTCGTTAAAAACAAATATGATATCTTCAAAATTAAACTACCAAGCAAGTTCGAGCGCCAATGTTAACATCACATTACTTAATCCTAAGTACCTTACTTTAGTTTCTAATTAATTTTAAAATCTTAGTCGCAACGATTTTGATTAACTTTTGCCATCAACGTAATTTTGAACTGTGATTTTGTGATGTTCAAAAATTTTATCGGATAACATTATTTATTGTACATAATTTTTACATTTTAACAGTATTTTTTGTGATGCGTTTGACCAGTTTGTGTGTTTAACAGTACATTTTGTGTACATTAAATAATTATAATTGTATTTCATATAATTTTTAATGTTTGCAGTTTAGTTTACCTTAAAGATTTTATTTAATTTCACGCACCTTACTAATAAAATATTGAATTTTTATCCCTTTAGAGATACTATTATGAAACTCCTCAATTTGTGCAATTTATTGAACTTTTTAAATATTTCTTCTCTACTCTTATTCTTACAGCTCATTTTTACGAATTTTATTAGTAAGGTTAGATTATATTTTAGAGAATATAGTTTTATTGCGATTGTTTTATTCTATTTTGACCTTTGTATGTGTTTTGATCTTTTGACATGTTTATTTTACGTATGAATGTTTGTTATTTTCGTAAAACGATTATTTTTGGAATTTGCGTATGCTAAGAAATTTATTTCACACAATTTGTAATTTTCGCGCAAAATCATGATAGTGTAAAATGTCCTATAAGCTTGGTACGTCCTTTTGCCGTCCAACGGATGAGAAAGATATTTTTAAATTGTTAAGAGCATTATGGTAAGGGTCTACAGTAGGGATAGTTGAGATGCCAAGTAATAGTTCAACTTATAGTGTGAACAGGATTTGCTATGGTAGTAAACTTGGTCGTTATGGCTTCAGTCCAATTTTATTTCGTTCTAATAAATATTCATATGGAATCCAATCTACTTTCATGTGCCTGTTCACACTTGAGCCAGTTTTCAGGAATATTTAAGATTCATGATTGTGTTACACTATAAATATTGGCTGCAATATCAAGTCATAAGTACTACTGTAGCGAAAATAATTTGTCCCACAGATTCGACTTCATGGTTTGCAACAATTTAGCTCTTATTTTTCTATAGAGCCTTGTAAAATTAGAGCTCTCGTTTTTGTAAACCGTGTTGGTTGAATTATAATTACTACTTCAATCAAGAGTCGAAACACTAGTTGGGGCGGGTGGATTGACCATGTAGGGTTGTTGAATGTGTACTTTTATGCACTATTGTGATGTCATAGAATTTGGTATACATACTTAACAGTGATTTTAATAAAGAAATGTGAATAACTCAACTGTATGTTTAATTAACATCCTTTATCTATTGAAGTTATTTGAAGTTGTGATTAGATTTTTATTTATTCAGAAGTAACAGCTCTCTAAATACCTCTGCGACTCTATCTATTGCATCTACATTACCTTCTGCCAAACGAGTTGGATCTGAAAGAAATAATTACTGACTGGGATATTGGGAATATCCATAATTATCTACAGCAAGTTATGAATCCGGTCCAGAAATAATGAATAAAACTTCCTATGCATATCATCCAAATAGATTTACGCCCGTATTCACAAAAATTACTATGAGGTCTCACAGTGCACGTAGACGCACAGGGTGACACACGAACCAATCACAGAGCTCTATTCAACGCTGTGCGTTCGATTTGCTGCTTCACTTAAGCAAGTAGGTCGTTTGTGAATACGGGCGTTATAGCCTGACCAGGAACATAAAAACCCTCGCCATGTTGCGGAAAACTAATGGTACTAATTTCTTTTAATGGCAAAAGTAACTGAAAACTTCATTGACATGTCACCTTGCATGTCAGTCTGTTGCTGTCAAAGTATAAACAAACTTTATTTTAAATGTGCGCAATTGATTATGTGAATTAAATTGCAAAAATCTTTTTATAGTCGTGAAAGAAAAGTGGTTCACAATGTTTTAAAGTATTTGTCGAAGAGAAATAGCTACTAAGGGTTCGGACAATAATCTTTTCGACAAAGGTTGTCAAATTGACTGACATGTTTATCGTATAGTACAGTCCACTATGAAAATTAGCTGTGGTTTGTTTCAACTACCTATTTTAAAGTTTTTTATCACTTTCTAAGTTTTGAATTTTATGGAATTGGGAAAGAAGTACCGAGTTTGAAGCGTTCATGAGCAGACATTGCAGTTGAATATTCAAGTTCTGAATTTGATTATTGATGAATAATAAAATAAATCCTACTAACTCGATTGACGGTTTCATTTAATTTATTTAAACCAGGTTACCTATAATAATATTTTTTCGTTAATTTATGAAAATATCAAATTAGCCCGTAATCCTGAATCCTGATACATAAAGTTAGCCTATTAATTTAACACAGGTACGACTGTACTCAGTGTTGCACTATCAAATGCAATTGACGCGCCTCCATGCCAGGGTTTTTATGTTCCTGGTCAGGCTATACTTTCAGTGGGTTGAGTGGGGTTGAGTGTGAGTTTAAGAAAAGAGTAAACTCATACTAGGCCCTCAGAAGCAGAGTTACTTTCGTAATTAAGTTCGCAATTAATAATATTTGGTATGAATAATGGAGGGTGGTATATTTTGTTTTATTTTTTTCAACATAATTATGTAGTACACAAATAAGAATATTCATAGATTTCTGCATCATTACATCATTTTAAAAAAACAATATGTTACTGCTAGGCATGGAAATGATTGCTATTTTTCATTCATTTTCATTATATGAAATGATGATTCTTTTTCATATGATTTCACATGCGAAATTTCACAGGCAATGATTTTTATTCGCAGTGTTATAATGTAGCTCTTTCATATAATGTGCTACTTTTAATTAAGTATGAATTATGATGAACGATTGCTAATTAGCTAAAATATGAAATGTAACAATATCTGTTTCATTTTATGTCACACAACAAAAAACAAACAGTTTCACAGAACGGTATGTATGCAACAATTAATAACCGCGCGACTAGTGAAAAATCATTCATTTCATCTGTCTGCTATCTAATGAAATCATACGAACCACGAAAAGGAAATCTAAACCTTACACCTTTGAGTTTAAAGTTCATATTTAAAATGCCTAGTTTCGTCCGTCATCACATCTCTTGTCCTTTTCTAACACGCACATGATCAAATCATTCCTTCTTACTCGCTCGGTCGCTTCGCAGAGCTGCGTGCGCTCACGGACTTCGCTCGAATGAATGAATGAAATTCATGTGATTCGTGATTTCATTGACTGTGAAATTATAGCAGTCTATGTGAAGTAAAATAGCAGGTGTGATTAATGAAATTCATTTCACATGATTTTTCACCTGCTATTCATGAAATGTTCCATGCCTAGTTACTGCCATCATGACGTTTTATGTCAGTCAGCTGTCTTCTGTCAGTGTCATCCATTCAATCCATTTTCATTTGTGTTTCCTTCACGGATGTGTACAATTTGCGTCAGATTTAATGGAAAATTTTATTAAAAGTTTTGCATAAATGATAGTGGTGAGTCAAGTGCAAGTTTCTACACAAGTTTGTCAAGATGTCGTCCTTCATAAACCACAGGAATGATAGTACATTGAGGATAGACGAAGCGACTACGAAAGACAATGTTACGTATTACAAAATTCAAATTAAAGTGGGCCCTGTGAACTGGAGCGTTTTGCATCGGTACAGTGACTTCGTGGAACTCCATGACAAGCTTGTGTTCGACCATGGGGTGTCCAAAGAGTGGCTTCCACCGAAGAAAGTAATACGCAACAAAACACCGAAATTCATCGAACAAAGACGGGAAGCCTTAAACGAATACCTTAACAATGTCTTTAATTATTTAAGACTGACGATGCCGTATGAATTTGCTCACTTTTTAGACTTTCATTTGTATGATATATTTTTCTTGCTGCAAGATTTGGCTAAGAAACTGTATTTGGAAGGAGATGTGCTGTTGCAAGATGAGATGTCGTTTAAACTGACTCCATTGGAGGTTTGTATTGTACTTTATTTTGTATATTTACCGTTGCCGTCATGGGCGGGTAATGGACACCTGTAGCGGTTTCTTCAGGGAACACCCGAAACTTCTTCCCGTGCCGTTTTTGTGGAAAAATAAAACTAAGCGTAAAATTACTACTATTTAATGATTACTGTTTATTGTAAACATGGATTAGAATGTATGTAAAAATTGGTCCAACTGATTTTGCCATGACACAATGTAATAATCCGCCATTACAATATAATTATTTTAAGTGATAAAGCTTTATTGTCTGGCGTAAAGCCCAGACCTTGTAGTATTGTAATTAATATTCATTCACGAACCATCATACTCATCAATATATTATTTATGTTGTAGTTACTTGTATGAGTAAGTGTTGGTAAGTAGTTATTGTAAATAATGTTATCCGTGTTATTTTTCTTATATCAATTTAATTGATTCAATAAAGTTTAAAAATATTTTAAAGGTTATTTTGTCAATATAATTAAATTGCTGTATTGTGATGTATTGCTATTTATAACATAAAATATCTACTCAAAATATGTGATTAAAACAATCACAGGAATACTGCAGTTCAGTTGTATGCCCAAAAATAAATTATGTAATTAATTTAAAGACATACAATCATTAAATTCATAATTTACTTATTTTCCAGTTACATGCTATAAGCGAAAGACTTAAAATGGCCTGCCCGCCCACCGAGAAAGTGGATCAAATGTACGACTTCAGTCATGTACTGGACTACTGTTCACAGCTTCGTTCGCTCACCATAGAAGGAAACTATGACAAACTGGGCACTAGTAACGTGATACCCAATGATTTGCGCTTTGATTTAGTGCCTTTCAAGTCTCTGGTAGACTTAAAAATTATCGGAGTGCCTATGCCGTGTATACAAAGTGTTGGTAAGTGCACGTCATATTATTTGCATATTGTCTTTGTGTAATTTGTGATAGCATTACCCAGAAATGTGTAAATAAATGATTGTCAGTTGTATCTTCCAAATACTTCTGCAGTAAAAAAAAGTCGTAAAAGTAATTTATCTTCTGCTCATAGGCTTTTATGAAACACTTGGTTACTGTTAATATTAAATACTGTTTGTCAACTATTCGCTAACACAGTTGTATCACAGNATAGCCAGGCAGCACTCAAACAAAAAGCAGTGAGCAAACCTCAGTGAAGGTTGAGTCTAGAATTATTCTAGATGCAATCTTAAAGATGAACAAACTCGGAAGGCATGGGAGAGCCGACAGTCTAACGAAACTAGGGTCGGAGGCGATACCTATTGGGTCAGAACTGATACTTACCTTTACCTAACGCCATAATATGGCCATATCCAAGAAGNTGAGGTGCCAAACTGCGGAAAATGGCGGAGGAAATACATGATTTAGCATGAATTATCATTAATAATATTAACTACTTATTTATTTCTCAGTGTCTTGAGGCAACTTAAAAAAGTACATTCTGTGTTTTTATTATTATTTAGGCAGTTAAATACTGCACAGTATTTAGTACACCATTTTCTTTATTTTCAACCGACTTCAAAAAAAGGAGGAGGTTCTCAATTCGACCCGTATGTTTTTTTTTTCTATGTTTGTTACGCGATAACTCCGCCAATTATGAACCGATTTGAACAAATCTTTTTTCGGCGTATAGGTAACTAGCTTCCCGCCCGCGGCTTCGCCCGCGTGGAATTTTGTCTGTCACAGAAAAACTTTATCGCGCGCGTCCCTGTTTCAAAAACCGGGATAAAAACTATCCTATGTTCTTTCCCGGGACTCAAACTATCTCTATGCCAAATTTCATCAAAATCGGTTGCGAGGTTTAAGCGGGAAAGCGTAACAGACAGACAGACAGACAGAGTTACTTTCGCATTTATAATATTAGTTGGGATACCTCAAGGGTGGTCCCATTTAAATTTAATAATAAAAAAAACAACCCCCAAGGGTGGAAAATTGGGGATGAACTATTTTATACGCAATATCTCCGCTGATTATAAACCAATTTGAACGATTATTTTTTTGTTGAATAGGTATTATCAAAAGGGTGGTTTCATGCGAATTTGAAGAAAATATTTCACCCCCAAGGGTGGAAAATTGGGGATGAACTTTTTATACGCAATATCTCCGCCGATTATGAACCAATTTGAACGATTATTTTTTTGTTGAATAGGTGTTATTTGTGTTCACGCATTTGAAGTCGGTTTTTTTTTAAAGTTATCTTCCATCATACACAAGAATACGCGTGCGTGAGTCAATGTTCGCTCGTATGTGAGGCCTTGTCGAATAGTATCCTGTAGGTGGGCCATCGTGCGTGTTTTGTTTTCGATGTAAACTCGCGGAGATAAACAGGCCTGGTTGTATAGCCAAACTTGAGACTTAAGTTTAAACTGAGGGACAATGTTTCATTGTGTTCTTCTAACTTCAAGGAAAATGAATGTTTAATTTGTACAAAATAATGGTAGTTCAGCTGGGCTAAGCCTATTTACATTATGTAAATTTGGAAAAATGTCTACAAAATGTTTGTTTAAAACTTATTTGATTAGGATACAGTTTAAGGTCGTAGGCCGTAGCACACTTATCAAACCCGGAAAGGGATCGTAACCGTATCAACTCAAGGCTTTCAGAATTCTTTGTATGAAACTCCATACAGCAACGCACACTTATCCGCACTGTAAACGTAAACGCCTCGCCTCGCGGTTGACAGCGCGCGAAAGGCGATAACAGTGTTGTGTTGATCCCTTTCCGAGTTGATAAGTCTGCTAAGATCATTAAATTATTTTTTCTAAAGTCATGACTAGTCTTTCCTTTCAAATAAAGAATAATAATAAAGATGACCCACGCTGAACTGTTCCACCAAACTCAATGACAGGGGGGCGCTACCATCGTTCAACTATATGGTTTCCAACATGGCAAAAATCGAAACCAGCGAACCGATAAAGACGGTGGCGCCCCGCTGTCAATGTCATGGATAGGACAGTTCAGTATATTGGAACTATATTGTACGTTTCAGGCACTCTCCGTGATACGCTAGTGAGTTTAACAGTGATGATAGCCAGTGTTGTATCGCTCAACGAGTTTCTATTAGTGGATATTTTACACAAGGACCCATCAAGCATAGCAGATACAGTGGTTCGTAGATTTTTTAATTTAACTTTCAATATTTATGACCCTATCTCTATTTACTTATTGCTAAGAGGGGAACCATAGTCTGGTCTGCGAGCACGTAGAATTTTGTCCAATGACCCCAAGCTTCCCATCCTTATCGCTCGCGCGTAATTATGTTGCTGTCGCGCTCGCACACTCACTGCGGGCGTTCGTCGCACAGTCGCGACAGCAATATAATTACGCGCGAGCGATAAGGATGGGTAGCTTGGGGTCATTGGACAAAATTCTACGTGCTCACAGACCGGGCTTTACCACTGTTATTATTGGTTAGTCACTAAGTAATCGTTTCAATAAGGATCATTGTGGTTGTTTGACTATAAGTAAATAACTTATTTCCTACCTAAAACTTTGCCGTGGTAGTTTACCTTCTATGATGATTCATGTATGTCGTAAGCTTAAAACTGTTCATATTCCTTGGCCTTTTAATTGAAATATGTTTCTCGAATAAATAATTTTGTGCAGTTTGTAAGGTCAGTGGATCCCAACTTTAGAAACCAGAAACCTTGTCTAGTCCTATAATATTAATAATGTCAATGAAAATCTAAAGCAGTATACCTATAACTAACATAGTTATTTAAAACCTACAAAAAAAAATACATAAGGACCTCAAATTCATAGTTTGGGAACCGCTTACCTACATTATTTGCGCATTTACGATAGCAAATTGATATCATTTGCATTGAACATTCCTGTTATCATCATGACGACACAAATAGAGGTCGACTGATACACGCTATGGTGGTTGCACGTGCGTGTTGTAGTCTGAAAGCAATGTGACTACATTCTCTCTACATTAGGTAGGCTATACAGATCCTAAAAATAAAGTCAAGCTGAAGCCTTTAGTGCAGTGTTTTTCAACCTTTTTCATGACACGAACCCCCTAGTACTTTTTTTTCGCTTCCGTCGGTCGCTTTTTTTCATGCATTTTTTTAGGTTAGATACTACAAAGATGTTGTAGGGAACGAATTTTTCAATCCATACAACATTTATGCATTTGCATAAATTTGAATTCGGATAAATCTATCTTTAAAGCTTTACCGTTTTTTAACTAAGATAGTTTTTACGACCTCTCGCGACCCCCCTATAGAGGCTTCGCGACCCCCCAGGGTCTCACGACCCACAGGTTGAAAAACACTGCTTTAGTGCCTTTAGATCACCCTCAGTGGTATCAGAATCAACCCTATTTCCATTCACTTTTTTGGCCATTGTGACTCAAAAACTGAAATTACTATAAAGGACGAAGCACACTTATCAACCCAGAAACAGATCGTAACCGTATCAACTCGAGGCGGTAAGTACTGCAACGCACGCTTATCCGTACCGTACCGTAACGTAAACGCCTTGCCTCGCGGCGAAAGGCGATACGGTGTTGATCCCTTTCCGGGCTGATAAGTTTGCTGTGACCTTAACTTTGCCTAGGAGATATTATTTTAGACATTATTGGTTAGGTACCTAATTTAGTTTAGTTTCAACTACAAAACTATACCCTTACTAAACGAGCAATTTCAAAAAAACTTGGCCACTATACTCATAATGATTTGATGATCGGTGACATTATTGTGCACATAGGGTTGCCAGGTCCAAAAACATAAAAGCTGGATTCGGCCGGTCATTTATATATGCAATTTTGGTATCATAGGTCATGATGACTGAGTACGATCAACTTTCATCTTCGAATCAGTTGCCCAACACCCTGATGTGCGCGCACACGTGTACTTGATATTATTCTGTGGCTCGACAATAGACTGCCACATAAAAAGCCTAACCGGACAGGCCGGACAAGAAAATATTTGGCCGGACAAGTCCGTAAAAAGCCAAACATGTCGGCTAAAGTCGGACCCCTGGCAACCCTATGTGCAAAGCGATGCGATCATGTGACCCAGTTAGCTCGCACATGTTTAGATAGCGAGCAAGCAACCAATATATTTATCTATTGCTGCTAATTACTTAATAAATGGGTCATTGAACTAAAATCTTAGTAAAAATATTTTGTGTCTTTGCAGAAATGGAACAAACTATCGGTCATAGACTTCGGCAGCAATAACATAGAGCAAGTCGATTGGGCTATCAAGTTGGTGCCTAAACTACAACATCTGAGTCTCTCCTCCAACCGACTTAAAGAACTATGTGACATATCCTGCCTACACGACCTTCGGATACTCAACTTGTCTATGAACAATTATTCTTTGTGCGAAAACTGGCACGCGAAAATCGGGAACATTGTCAAAATTGACCTATCCCAGAACAAAGTGACAACCCTGCAAGGATTTTCCAGGTTATACTCATTGGAAAGTTTAGATTTAAGCTGCAACATGATCACAGATGTTGAAGAAGTCCAGCATATTTGCAAACTCCCTTGTTTGGAGTATCTATGGTTGACCGCCAACCCTGTGGCGTCTTCCATAGATTATAGAGTGAAGGTCATAGAGCAGTTTAATGCGCGGATGTCAGAACTATGCCTGGACAATGAGAGGCCTTCAGAAAAGGAATTGGACACCGCTAGAGTATTACAAGCGTTGAGGGTAGTCAAAGAAGGAAAGACGCCGACATTTTTACAGAACAATAATACCAGCCATAGCTTTAACAAAAGTTGACGATAATTGTAAACAAACTGACTATATTAAAGTTACTACTACATATATTTGAAGTAAATGTAAATTCAATATTTATTTTGTATATTGCCTTGACCACTATATTAATGTTTCCTATGAATGTCATATTGTTTTTTGGATTCACCAGCTGAGCTGAAATAACTAAATTTTGTAATATAATTTTATTTAATTATGACTAATAGCACTTCTCAGTGTAATAATCCTAAAGTGCCCAGTGAAATAAAATTTTAAAGACTAGAAATAATAATAATAATAGCTCTGCTTTTTAATGTGTATTCATATTACTACCATAGGCCCATGCCCGGATTCTCTCGCGGTCGCCCGTTGCCGCCCGCAATAAGGATGGGGTAGCTTGGGATCATTGTACGAAATTATATCTGCTCGGGTACCGGACTTTAGTAGTATGAATATACCTTTATCGCTTTATTTTTTCTTCTGTAGCAACACTGCAATATTATAACACCTTGTGATATTGGAAAAGTTTTTAGGTATAAAACAAACGTAAATTTTGTATTTGTAAATAATGAATAAAATGGCCAATTTTCAATTTAGAAATTAGTCGAACATGTAATGGAATATTAATTGAGCTTATAAAAGTAAGACTTGACTAAAAATACTTATAGTACAGATTTAAAATAATGATTTTTATTTTGCGTATTTTATCATATCCATCACATCAGCCTAAACACATTGAACTTTAGATTAGCCTTATTTCCTGCAAAATAAGAGCGAAATTTGCAGTGTGACTGTTACGTTTGATGTGCAGTCTAGTTTAAAATTGTTTATTACATTTTTTCTTGTTTTTAAAGCTAAGTCAAGGCTTTGAGTGTCTTAGAAATATAAATATCAGTGATATTATAAATGGATAGAAAAATCAATTTTTGATATGTATAATAATAAAGCTATCGTTAGTGTGCATATTATTATTAGTTTTGACATAATTATGTTTACATGACATATGATTGTACAAATATTTGTGTAATTGAACCAAATGAAAATGTATGTTATGAGTAGTAACGTAAAGTTTATTTTGCTCTACCCAGATTTTGCAATTTGCAAATATTTGTACAAACATGTGTGTATTGCGTGAGTGAACTCGAATGGTAAACCTAAAAGTTCACGCTTATTAAAACTTTAATTGAAGGACTATTTTTTGTGAATATTTTTGTATTTATAGTAAATAATTTTGGTATTAAAATAATATCGATATTTACAAAATAATATCGATATTATTTTAATGAAATATTATATCAGTTTATTTGTAAAACATAATCCAGTAAAATATTGACCATCAGTATTTAATGACATTCTTAACTATTTTCATATTTATTGTGCATAATAATATCTATTATTAAGAATTACAAAAATGCATTATCATTTAGTATTAATTTATCAAAGTATTACTATTTGTGATCTGACGATGAAGTTGTGTTGTTGAATTAAATATGTTATGGCATTTGTTTTATATCATTAAATTAAGTTCGTTAATATACTGTTTTCATTTATAATGCGCTCACTAGTTAGCGTCACTTTCGAGTGACTTGTGACTGAAAAAAAAAACAACATTAGTATTTTGTTAAAAAAATTACGTTACCATGAGGTCTACCAACGTGCGCCTTGTTAGTGATTACGGGACTATTCCCACCTCTCGTTCCCACCGCTGCAACTCCTGTGTAACCAGGATCTACAGCTTGACTGCCAATAACCCAACCAGTGAAGGTCAGGTTTGCCCCGGGGGAAAGTTAAGCTGTCGTTGGACCCGCGACGAAAGTAATCAAAAGGACAGGAGTTCGAAATTCAGTGTCGATTTCCCACCAGTGCAAAGCGGTTGACTTTAAGTTGATAACCTTTTAGAAAATAATATACAGCACGGATTGTTAGCACTTGTGGCCAACTTAGTATTTTATTTTATTTCAATAAGTGTACCTACTGTATGGAAGATTTGGGCGATTACTTATACAAATCACAAGTCATCCAAACTAACGGACGGTAAAAAGTGAAGTCTGGGCACTCAAGATCGTAACACATTGACCTTTGACCTCACGATTAATTTATGAAATAAGTTTCCAAGGGTAAGGTAAACCAAGTTCGGGCTTGAATTGATAGAATTGCGTTTGTCATGTTAATGCGAGTCCAAGTTAGATGGATATTTTGAATATGTAGTATAAAGGGTTGCTTGGACAGGAAATTTTTTATCATGCGAAATTATACATTAGACTATTGAGAATTATGTACCTACTTGGAATTGGGACCTAGCAAACAGAAGACCCGAATTCGTTTTGTCAACAGTCTTAATTTTGTCAAATCAAGCCCAAGCCATGTATTCTGTGCCCAAGCTACAGAATAGACAACAAAAGGGTTTTTACGTTTTCCGGAAAACTTTTCCAATATTAAAAAAATACGGAATGGCTTCTCGGGTACGTAATGGATTAGCGATTCATCCTTAGCAATTTTTTTCCTGCACTGTCAAGGTGTTTTTCATCTACCCACTGTCATTATTTATTCTGTGCCACTGTAAAACCGGCTAATAATGCAGGGTGACATAAGTGGAAACTGCCTATGTAATTACCGTAATCACGAACCATTTTGTATACAAAACATGAATGTAAACACCAGTACGACAGTTACAAACGACAGCAAGCTAGAGGAACATTTTCATTGCATAATAGCACTTAATACTGGGATATTAAGATTGTACTTACCTACAGTCTTTAAAGTACCGTAGTCCAATAAATGTACCTACAATTCCCCGTATTCACAAACGATGCTTGTTTAAGTGAGGCAGCAAATCGAACGCACAGCGTTGAATAGAGCTCTGCGATTTGTTCGTGTCTCTCCTTTAGCGTCCAAGACCTCATAGTAATGTTTGTAAATACGGGCGTTCGATTTCTGTCTTTAATGTGCCGCAGTCGATGTTAGATAGGTAATTAGGTACGATATTGGCATTCTTCGACAGAGATAGTGCAGTGCGGTAGTGGCACGATGAGATTATTTTTTATTTGTTTATTATTAGCCAGTGCAGTGAACTTAGAAGCGTACAAAGTGTTACTATGTTTTCCCTTCCCGGTGAGGAGTATGAACAGTTTGGGCGACGGGTATGCCAGGCATTTGATAAATGCTGGACATGAGGTAAGAAGTCAGTCGTTATTAATTAAAATTTTCGGTATGTTATTAAATTAGTGGCTAACGTTAATAAAAATGAAAAAGCAACTCTAATAAGTTTTAAAAATTAGAAAGATCAATACCTGATTATTTCGCCGTGAAACTTTAAAAAGTTCATATTTTTATGCAATATGGTGTTTTACAAACCACTAGGTAACCTAAAAAAAGACCGATAGGTACTACCTAAGTAGGTAATAATCTAGTAGGTATAATGCATAATATGCCTATGATATTTTGAAGCAACTTACTGTCGAAGGAAATACTAAATTTGGTAACAAGTAACAGCAACATTGTAGGTACGTGAAAAATGTTTTCATAATGAATTTTCATGATTTCAGGTGACGTTTATAACAGCATTCCCCAAGAAGCAGAATATTCCAAACCTGCGTGAAATCGATGTTAGTGACAACTACGAAATCATAGCTAGTGAGTTTCTAAATTTATTTTTTCTTCTTTCTGATACATTCATAGGTACCTACCGACGACGATGCAGCAACAGCAACCAATACAAAAAAAAAAACAAATTCAAATGCATAGTCTTTCAATAGGCCCTTTCCAGGGCACTTATACACGCGCCAAATATAGCTTGCCCTACCACTGTTAATGCACACAAAATATGTTTGCACCTATTGTGCGGGAACCGAACCCGCAGCGTCTGGCATAGTAGTCCGTTACGAACGTCATAGATCTATGGGGTTACGAACCACTACACCGATCGAACTATTAAAACTATGGTATTCGGACTAGATTTACCTACTTGATGTTGCTTATTTAACTTTCATAATTACCATCGTGTTCTCACGCCCTTGTTCATTTGCATTTAAGACGAGAATTTCAACAACATAAGTTTCATTCTTGAAAACATCCTGGACTTAAGCAGTGACGTGGAGTTCCTCCAGCGTCTGACCCTGGATATAGCTCTGAAGACATTGGAGAATAAAGATGTGAAGGCACTGATGGGGAATCCAAAAGAGACATTCCATGTGTTCATCGCTGATTTGTTGGAGACTGAGCTCTATGCTGGGTAAGTTAAAAATGAAAATATGTTCTGAGTACCTAATAATGATATTGATGCTATTTCTTTCTCACTTAAATTAGCCCCTAATACTGAATTTAGTAGGTACTGAAGTTATGGGGAGCGAATGGATGCGGGCAGTGCAAATACTTGTTATGAAACCCTTTATCACCCGGTAAAGTACGGTAGTACAAGTAGCACCTGGCGACCGTGACTTCTGGTATGAACGGGGCGAACGTCCCGAAATGTGCGGGTAAGTGCGACGGAGAGTCGCATTCCAGCGAGGTGCGCACGCGCACTTAACTCGACCGGGTTGTAACGAAAATCTTTAGAAAAAGAAAAAACAATTTAGTGTGAAACTTTATCTTTTGCCTTATATTGTCTACTGACCACTTTGAGAATAATTAATTTTTAGTGCCCCCATTTGTAGCTGAGAGTCGAGAGCTCAGTCGGTGTAAATTAAGATAAAATTATAAATCGCCTCCCAAGCCTCTACACAACGCCCCGATTTGTTTTCTGGGTCTCATAACGCCTTTAGGTCTGCAGTGTCCACAGAGAGGCGTTACTTATTGCCCACTTTGGGAAAGGCTGCTATAAATCAAAGAAATCTTCCATCTCCAGATTCGCAGCTCTGTACAACTGCCCCCTGATCTGGGCGTATTCCATGGGAGCCCACTGGGTGGCCATGCGCCTGATCGACGATCCAACAAACCCTGCTTATTCTTCAGACTACTTCACGACCCCCATAGCACCGTTTTCCTTCACAGACCGTTTCCGAGTGCTCTGGGAGAATGTAAAATGGCGATATGCTAAAATGTAAGTAAGATAGGTAGTAATTTAATTTTAATGAGCCGACAATAGCTCTACTCTATGGTGTTTGTTAGAGTCGGGTTGCCGATCGGTACAGTAGTTCCAACCCATCGCTTGTGGTGAATCAACTCCTAGTAGAAGAATTACTTAACTTAAAATTATCCTTTATAAAAAAAAAATACTTAGTTTTAAAATTATGATTAATGGTTTACCCTGCAGGGTGAAAACTCGCTTTCATGCAAATCTTGGCTCTATTTTGATGAGATCACTAATATCGCAAAATCTGAACTTCTTAAAAAATGCAACATCAGTCATCAAAAAATGGATACCCGTGTTTTTCAAATCTAGCTTAAAGAAGGTAGTCGTTTTGGATTGCCCTGCGTATTTTCACCATCTCTATTTTCTTTTTCAGCTTCATAACTCAGCCAAAAGAGGAAGCAGCTTACATAAGCATATTTGGCCCTGAATTAAAAAAGCGTGGCATGATCATGCCGGATTATGATGATCTTATTTACAACGCGTCATTGGTGCTAAGCAATGACCACCATGCGTCTGGTAACACACCGAAGACCCCCCAGAACTGGAAATTTGTGGGGGGGTTCCATATTGAAGCACCTGTAAAACCTTTACCTGAGGTGAGTGACCTTGCAACTGGACGCGTTAAAACAATACATCAGATCATGTGGTTTCATCATCATCATTTCAGCCACAAGACGTCCACTGCTGAACATAGGCCTCCCCCAATGACTTCCACATCGCACGGTTGGTAGCGGCCTGCATCCAGCGCCTTTCTGCTACCTTTATCAGGTCGTCGGTCCACCTTGGGGGTGGACGTCCCACGCTGCATTTTCCGGTACGTGGCCTCCACTCCAGAACTTTGCTGCTCCATCGGCCGTCAGTTCTGCGTGCTATGTGCCCTGCCCATTGCCACTACAGCTTGCTAATCAGTCGGGCTATGTCAGTGACTTTAGTTCGTTTACGGATGTTGTACATGTGGTTTCGCCAGAGTCTTATCGTAAGAGGCGACTTAGGGATACATTTATATGAACATCAGGCCTCCGCAACCCTTCTGTCAGCGTGTGGAGTGTATGCCAAATCTTCCACTTGTCTCTTTCTAGTAAATTGTAGATGGTGGTGCTCCTGCAATGGAGACTAATGACGTGATGATGATGCTTCTTTCTTGGTGATCTTTAAGATAAAGATTTCTTATTTCAGGATTTAAAAACCATCATGGATAATGCTGTACATGGTGTAATTTACTTCAGCATGGGATCAGTATGGAATAGCGAGCTTATACCGATGCAAATAATTGATGGTCTTCTCGAGACCTTCGGGGAACTGAAGGCTACGGTAATTTGGAAGTACGAAGGAAACCTTCCTGACGTGCCTAAGAATGTTCACTTAATTAAGTGGGCGCCACAGCAGAGCATTTTAGGTAAGAGTCACTGTTGAACTGGCTTTTATACAAATACTCGACAAGATAGCTAAAAGCCTCTGTGGTCTGATGGTAAGAAGACCATCTGTCTTAGGATCAGAGGTTCCGGGTGCGAGTCCCAGTGAAGGCAACTTTTTCTGCTTGGTTTGGTATGCTAGAGCTTATCCTAAGTTCACCAGGCTAGCTACTACAATCTTACCTAAGTCTGTCCCCATAACAAAAATGATAACAGCATTATCTAGCAGTGTCTAGGCAGTTAAATATAAGATAGGCAATCTCTCCGCTCTTGGCAAAAAAGGTGCTTTTGAGAGGACAATTAAAAATACTTCTTCTCTTAAATTGTTAACTGGCTAACAAGCCAGCCGGGCTAGGTTACGCGCCATGATAATCTTATCGGTGATTTTAGATGACAAATGTATATGTTATCGATATAATGCCCGAATAAAAGTTTATCCAGGCTTACTATTAAATTACTTTCCAGCGCACCCCAACTGCAAGCTATTCATAACTCACGGAGGACTTCTATCCTCGACCGAAGCCCTACACTTCGGAGTCCCCATCATTGGTGTTCCCATCTCATACGACCAGTTCCTCAACATTGAGAAGGCGGTTACCAGAGGATATGCGCTGCAAGTGGCTCTTTCTTATAAATTGCCCGAGAAGTTAAGATCTGCTATTAACGTTGTGTTTGACAATCCGAAGTAAGTAAATGAAATCTATTTACTTAACTCATTTGTTGTAAGTAGGTACAGTCAGCGTCAGATTGATCAAACCGTCGAAGATAACCAAAATGATCTGATATTCTATATGGTAAACTGCCAGTCATTGGACACTTAAGAAAGTTGTTGGACAGTTATTTACTGCATTAAAAATAGCATTTCTATTTCAACAACTGAGAGATTTCTATTTCATATAAATGTAACCAGTCAAAGTAAGCATATTGTTTGTGGCACCTAAAGTAGTCAATGTATCTTAGCAATACTGTTGTGATACTGTTCTCAATTTTATATGAGCTGTCAGGGTGTTCAAAAACACATGACATTAAATAGAAAAGACACCACCAAGTCTTATTAATATTAATATAAATTCCAGGTACCGAGAACAAGTGAAGAAACTGTCTAAGATATACCATGACCGTCCAATAGCCCCTGGCAAGGAGTTAGTACACTGGATAGAGCATGTCATCCGAACTCAAGGAGCTCCACACCTACGCTCACCGGCTAATCTCGTACCATTATACCAGAAGGCATATCTAGATATTTTAATGCTAGCTATAGCTGTGATTGCATTGGTGATATATTTGAAGAATTTGGTGTTTGGAGAGAGTAATAAAAGACAGAGTAAGAAGAAGTTTAAGAAAAACTAGATTATTTTATTTTATTTTATTTATTACGGTAAACCAACAACATTATTATAGATTAGAACTAATTATGTAGGTTGATAAATTAAACGTAACTGAAAATGACCACATGAGTGTTTTACCTATTAATTATTATTTTCACAGAGGAATAGGATTCCAGCTATCGTTACTTGCTTTTGCGACTACGTTCGTTTCCACCTATGTGCTGTAGGATTTGTAACATTTGATCGAAGTCCGTTTTTCTCACAAAATATTGCGATTATTATAACTAACTAGCGGCCGCCCGCGACTTCGTACGCGTGGATCCCGTTTTACCCCCTTTTCTCGAATTTTCTTTGCTATAAACCTCACGGAGCGCGAGACCTTTCCAACGAATGCAAAACCGTGGAAATCGGTTCGTGCGTTCTGGAGTTATAGCGTCAGGGAGGAAAACCCGACTTATTTTTATATAGTAGACTAGCTGTGCCCGCGACTTCGTCCGCGTGGAATAATGACTTTGGGTAGGCACTTTTAATAATTTAGTCTAATTATTTTACAAATAGCTTTTGCTCGCGACTTCGTCCGTGGAGAAGTCGAAAACGTTCTCATACGATTATTTTTAAATGTTTTAAGTTATTTTCTAAATGTTTGAATACTTTTAAAATATAAAAATCAGGTTAAATAAACATGAAAATATTTTTTTCTTATATTTTATGAATATGCAGCTCGGCCTTTGATCCGGTGAAAGTTACTCGGTGGTATTATTTTTTTACAACGAAATCGAAAACTACACCTACCGCAGTATTATTGGTAAACTTTTTTTTATATTTTCCTACGGGTGCTGGAATCACCAAGCTTCCAGCATGCCCCTGGCCGTGGGAGAAGGAGCTTTTCCTCCAGACTACTCCCACTACCTCAAGGGCCTCCGCCAAAACTCTCGCGCGAAAATGAGTTTATGTATACAGCGCAACTATGCATTTTTGGGCGAGCGCACGCAGCGGGCACCCACTCCGAGGTTTAAGTGGAGGCCCCTAGAGTATGGTAGTCGTTAACATGACGTCATGATTGTAAAAAAATGCACTAATGAGTAATTAATATCAACTTTGAAGCAAATCACCACTAAAATAACTTTCTACCCCTTTTTAACATAGTTAGGGGGTGCATTTCACTAAAATACGAAACACGTCTTCCATTAATTCTGTTATAGAATGCTTATGCAAAATTTTAAGTAGATTGAACGAAGGAATCTCGTTATTTCATACAAACTTTGCCCCTCCTTTTTACCTCCTTAGGGGTAGAATTTTGGAAAATCCTTTCTTATCAGATGCTTACGCCATACAAAGAACACACCGTCCATGTTTCAGGTCTTTACGATCAGCGGTTTAGGCTGTGCATTGATCCATCAGTAGCGCGCGTAGTACTTGATCATTATTTTGCTGCGATGTGATTTTAAAACTGCGATATCTCCTAAGATATTTATTGAAATCGAATGGTGTAAAGGGCAAGAATGTTTAAAATTAAATACTTGTGGTGAATAATTTATTTGTTTGGGTAAGGATTAATATCATGTTTATAAAAACACCTTCGCAAATAATGCATTATTTTAAAACAGATTTTTTTTGCATAAAAATGGTTACTATGAGCCAACCTTAAAAGATAGACATATGCTACCACGGACTTTTTTAAAGAACTTTTAAAGGGGAACAATCCTGTCATACATGATTTTTGCGAAACTTTAACCGTTTACGCAGCGTCAGCTCTCAAAAGGAAAAAATTGACTGATTTGAAATATTCTTGATTGGTGCTCCTCTCCTATTGGTCTAAGCGTGATGATAAATAGCCTAAAGCCTTCAGGAACTAACGGGCTATCCAACACAAAAAGAATTTTTCAAATCGATCCAGTAGTTCCTGAGATTAGCGCGTTCAACCAAACAAACAAACAAACAAACAAATTCTTCAGCTTTATAATATTAGTATAGATGTACTGCAGATGTATTGCGCTCTATAACGTTACAAATGCTGTGTAGGTATTTCACCGAAGTGATTTTGGGATTATGTATTTTTAGATGTTATTTGGCATTATTTGCACACAACACTAAGTTATTAAAAATGTCGCCAAAAATAATAATGTCTGTATAAATATCGCATAAGGCCAGCTCCACACTTTGGCCTCAACGCCATCGTCTCAACTCCCAATGTTGGTGCCAATACCATTTTCTGTATCCACACGTTAGACGAGAGGAATTGGGACCAAATTTGGCACCAACGTGTAGAGTCTGCCTAAATGCCTGTTCATACTGTGGCCCGTATTTATATCACACACAAGTCACAAATTATTTTTCCCCGTCCATTGACGCGACCTTGCATCGGTGTTCTAGTGACGTCATCGTTTGGTCGATATCTAGATGCTCGTTTGTTATTAACCCAATAGTTGATTTGGGACCGCCCCGTGTGGTCTCAATTTCGGTACATTTATTTGTCTAGAATAATTATTATAAAGCTTAGAAAGTTTGTATTTTAACTAGAGTTAATTTAAAGAGTTTTGGATTATGAGAAAATCATCGATGTAAAGTTTAGTGCTGTTTTGTGATTGTGTTTTGTTATTTCGACGCATGCGCCGGTTGGTTGAAGGTTATCAATAAACAAAACAAAAGTGATGGTATGGAGTAATAATTTAGTTAGTAAAAACATTAGAAGAGAAATAACTTATTGAATTGAACCAAGCATTTTGACTTAAACACTTTTACATAGAGTTTTATCAATATTTAATGTTTTATCACGCTTTGATAAATTATTATTTATCAGTCGGACGTAACTCTCATAGTAGTATTAATATTTTAGTGACTGTGTAATTAAAACAACTCAAATGTACACTGTTTGAAGTGAAAATGGATAAAGCACAAATAATTTTATGTGTTTTGGGAGTAATTTGTTGTGCAGATGCGTACAAAATATTAGTGGTTTTCCCTTTTCCAATTCGGAGTTTGAACAATTTGGGAGAAGGGTACGTTAGACACCTACTAAAGGCCGGGCATGAGGTAAGAATAATGGTGTTAATTATCTATCCAAAATGATTAAAATGTGTAGTTTTGTACTAACATTACACTTATAAACATAATAATAAAGCTCATGTTGGTTTGTAAGGGATAACAAGAATAACAACATCCTGGAATTATTCGACCTTTCTCAAATTTTATGAATTAAATGATGCTAAAGTCGATTAAATGCTGCAGGAAGATCATTAGGAATTCTGATCTAAAATTATAAATACGAGAGCAGATGTAGAGTCGAATTCGGGATAATAATACAGGGTGTAACAGGGGTCATCGGTATCGTGATTATTAAAACCTACTATTGAACTACTTCTAGAAAAAAAAAATGCAAGCAGGTCCAGTAGTGAAGCTACAGTGAAGTCTTTTATACTGATTCCGGCTTTTTACTTAAAATTTCACAAAAATCTCAATAACTTTGGATTGGACTTTGGACTCAAGAACTTTTGTAATATAATGTTGCACTTTTAAGGCTAATCCTAGGTTTGTCAATGCATTTTTTAGACACACGATTTGTGGAATTTCACTGATGTCCTTTGCACGAATTGTAGATTTTATAAATCACAATTCAAGAATATATTATAGTTTCTTAGACGCTTTGTGTCCTTTTAGGTTAAATTTATCACAGCATTTCCTCTGAAAAATGAGAAAAATGAAAAGCTTCGACAAATCGACATTAGCAGCAACCATCAGTTAATGGTGTCAGGTAAGAAGTAATCATAGCAATATTTTCCAATCGGTGATAAAATGATTTCGTTGGTTTGCCATTTGAGTATGAGTATAATTCAAATTCTGTATTTAGTATGATGAAGGGGTCATCATCAGGATACAAAACATGCCCCGAATATGCTTAGCTTTGCTGCACTATTATGGCACTATTTTGTTGCACTACCACTACCTACTTCTGGACAAACTGCTGTATTTGTATGAAAGTCGTATGCTTATAATTGCTTGGCGCCACCCATTTTCATTCAAGATTGATCCCTTTTCTTATCTTACTCGACTCATTAGAGCAGCTTTTCCACACATAACGTCCCTAAGGCCCAGAACAGACGGTGAAATGCAACTGCAACGAAACTGCAACTTTCTGATGATTCTGATGAATGAAACTGAAACTGAAAGTTTCAAACTGGTCGCGTCATGTGGGGTCTCTCAACGGACGCTATGGCAGAAACTTAGATGCAACTCAAAAGTAACTAAGTAACAGTTGCAGTTTCGTTGCAGTTGCGTTTCACCGTCTGTTCTGGGCCAAAGACACCTCATTTTTGACTTTTCGTAGGAGATTCTACCTTCTCTATCAAAAGTGTAATGGATGGACAAATACCGATGAACGATGTCAAAATGATGCAAGAGTTCGGACTATATTCCAGTATTATGATGTTCGAACATGAAAACGTGAAGAAGTTCTTAGAAGACACAAGCCAGCAGTTTGATGCTGTGATAGTAGACCTGTATGAGACGGAAATATATTCTGGGTAAGTCAATTTCAATATCGAACCCTCTAATCGGGTCGTTTTGTACCACATGATTGGGTCACACGATCTCAATTGACCCATTAAAAAAAGTAATTAAAAAAAAAGGAACTGTTTGAGTTCCGTCCACCCCTCGTAGTAACCTAAAATATGCTTGAGTTAAGAGTGGGTTCATCTCAAATAGTCCAGTGGCGGTGGGGTTTGTAGGCCGAAAACAGACGAATCACCTGATGGTAAGTGATTACCATGGTGTAAAACGACTATAACGACCCAAATTATCTTTTTGCTCGGTGCGTGACTTTGACTTAGGTGAAGAAGATGACTATTTTTAAAGGTCGGTGTACGTTCATTAGCCGATTGTGTGCTTTACAATCGACCATTTCAGACTCAATGACTATGAATATTTTTACGTCACTTGTTCCTGAGCTCGATAGACTTTCTTTGCTGAGTTTAATAAAGCAACTAAATAATTCAATTTTACAGATGTAATTGGAGTGTTGGCTTTTATATAAGTTCAATCATATGCTAGAAATAACCTGAATGGTCCTCAGATTTTTGGGTACGAACTTTTATTAACTAAATGTTGGTAAATGGTAACGACTTCTTTATTGGAGAAAATTGCTTTTGGGTGTCTGTTGGGGTTTATAAAAATAGGTTAGATTGACCTTTTACAAATTGATTCGTACCGTATACTAAAACCAACGAAGCGGGACTGGCCAGCCCATCCTGCCATTCTTCGTCGTTATTACGAACAGACGGTGACGTACTTTATGTAAATCTTTGCAGGTCTAGAACTAAATAGTCATTAGTAGGTACGAGATCATGTCGATCAAATAGAAGCTTTTATCTATTTTACTAGATTATAGAAATTACGAGTATATTAATTTTACAACTAATGTCATACTTTTACACAACTGATGGCCGTTGGGACAGAAAATTATCGAGTGACGACTACGAATCGGATGACGTAGTGTAAGTAGACCGACTGGGACTCTGTAGACTGGGGGTCTCGTGAAGGTTGTGGGAAGTACCAGGATTTTGGTAGAGCAGGATCGGTCATTGGATTTCTTTGATACTAGTCCACTATTGACATTTGACGCCATAAGAGAAGTAGAGCCAACAATTTTCAATATTTATTTAATTTTATTTATTAGCGGTCGCCCGCGACTTTGTACGCGTGGATCCCGTTTTACCCCCTTATGGGTGGAGTTTCGTAAAATCCTTTCTTAGCGGATACCTACGTCATAACATCTACCTACCTGCATGCCAAATTTCAGCCCAATCCGTCCAGTGGTTTGGGCTGTGCGTTAATAGATCACTATGTCTTTCAGTCAGTCAGTCACCTTTGAGTTATAATAAAATTATTTTTAGATTTATTGCACATAAATATTTTCAGATTATCAGCTCTCTACAACTGCCCAATGATCTGGAGTTACTCTATGGGCGCGCACTGGTTGGTTCTTCGACTGATAGATGAGCCGACAAACCCTGCCTACAGCGCCGACTACTTGTCATCCAACGTGCTGCCCTTCACCTTCAAACAAAGGCTGGAGGAACTGTGGGCGCAGATCTTATGGACCTGGACGAAGTGGTGAGGCAAAAAGTTTTGTTATACGTAAACCTTTCTCTGAAAAACTGGTCAAGTACCATCTTACCTAACTGAGCACTATGTCTATTAAGGCTTGGTTGCACCACCTTACTTTAACTTTGACAAACGTCAAAAATCTGTCAAACTCCATACAAAAAGCACCGGTTTTCGAACATAGACTGAAAACGCAAAATAGAAATATGTTTCTTATGTGGTAGGTACCGGTAGCTTTTAATATTTCTTGTTAGTGGCAATAGCCTTACCTCTACACATTCTGTGAAGGATAAATAATTCTGTATTATTCGTTCAATTCTCAAAACAAAACACATGGTGAATTTTGTAAACGTAAGAGTAGGCGCACACCGTTGATTTTTCGTCGGCCGATAATTTAGTCGGGCAGTTGATCAGTATGGGCATGTATGGGAGTGCGCACACTACGCCGATTCGATTTGGCCCATTCTTCATACAAATTAAAATCGGGCACAACTATCGGCCAACTAAAAATCAACAGTGTGCGCCTACTCTAAGACAATAAAAAACAACTGCATTGGAGACTGAAGAAATTGTTATGCAAGATTTCTTAAATTTTTTAGTCATTGAGGAATTATTCGTATAATTCTCTAATCTTTTAGTGATGTACTGCTGCCTGCAGAGTTTTGTACTCATTTATTCATTGCAGGACAAGCACAATGCCAAAAGAAAAGGAAGCCTTCACCAAGTACTTCAAACCACTGCTAGAGAACCGTGGGCATACATTACCAGATTACGACCAGCTCATATACAACGCTTCTTTGATCTTCGGCAATGAGCACCACGCTTTTGGAAACATACCAAGAACGCCGCAGAACTTCAAATTTATTGGCGGGTTCCACATCGAGAGCCCTGCCAAGCCGTTGCCAAAAGTAAGGCATAATTTGAACATTTTAATGTACTTTTTAATACTTATATGCTGACATAAAGCTAAGAAATGCAAAGTTTGTGATTACTTTCAAGAAAGAGATAGTTACTTGAAAGTACGTATCTCATTTGGCTAGCGAGCGAGAGGATTAAATATGTTACGAAGCACTGCCATTAACAATACGATTCAATCCATTGTTTTTGCTATGCTATACCAAATATTATGTAGGTATATTCTCCCTGAGTTGTCTGGAAGTGGTCACTTCCTAGCGATAAGACCGCCGCCATTCTTTTATGTTTCTGTTTTATGTGGTAACAACAACAAAGTACTTAAATCTATGCTATCCATCTGTCTCTCTTAAATATTATACATTTTTTGTGATTGAATGAAATTAATTATGTCTATTTCAGGACTTACAAACATTAATGGATAACTCAAAAGATGGCGTCATATACTTCAGTATGGGATCCACTTGGAACAGCAAGGACCTGCCAGAATCAGTTGTGGAAGGGCTGGTGAAGATGTTCGGAGAACTAAAGCAAACCGTCATTTGGAAGTTCGAAGCCGATTTGCCGAATTTACCGAAGAACTTGCATATCACCAAATGGGCTCCTCAGCCTAGTATTTTAGGTATTACTTTAGACACTACAGGCACTACGATAATACCTATAGCCCCGCTAGACAAGTTCGTGACAGTTTAAATTCCGCAATCGATTCGCTTCTCCTTCTTGGAACACAACTATTTTGCTTACTAAGCATCTAATCATGTAATTTCTTCTTATTTTGTGGTGCTGTATCATTGGTGCACTGCCCTGGTGGTGACTTTTATGATTCGTCATAGGAAGGCATTTGATATAAGCTTAATTGGTCAAGATGATAATATGACAGCGTACATTGTTAGCTATGCTAACGCTACACGAGATTTATCCATTATTAAAGAAAAAGGAAATTCTTTCTTTTGTCAATCTGGTCGATTCAAACCAGCAATGTGAATAAAATTGGGGACGACCATTAACTGGTAAGTAACTTAGAGCTTTTGAAAGACCTTAATTAATAACGATATTAATTGCAGCACATCCCAACTGCCTGTTCTTCATCACCCACGGTGGTCACTTATCATCGACGGAAGCTATCCACTTTGGCGTGCCCATCATCGGAGTTCCAATCTTCTTTGACCAGTTCATCAACATCAACAAAGCACTGTCTAAGGGATATGCCCTTAAAGTACACCTGAATTATGATTTGCCCAGAAATCTGAAGACTGCTATACAAACAATGCTGAGCGATTCAAAGTAAGTCTAATTAATGATGTCTTAGTTAAAGTCGCCACCAACCAGCCATAGTGGAAATCATTGGGGGATGCCCATGTTCAGTTGACGGACGGACGTCTTATGGCTGAAATGATAATGATGATGATTGTTAAAGTATGAACGGTGGTAGGTATATCTAAGTCTACCAGTAGATACTTTATTAATTACTAACCTTAATTATGTAGTTGAAATTGCAACAACAATCGTTGTAGAGTCATAATTATGTACTGCACCTGTATCTATGAGGGCGAGATTGGCAAATATTTCTCGTTTTTTTCTAAAATTTTTGTTCGTAAGACATCATTTTGTATCTCTTTTCACTAATATATTAATTATTAATTTAGCTAGGCTTTTCTTTGGCCTAGTTGAGTAAATAATCTCATTTTTTGACTAGGGAGCGCCCAATTTGAGTTCTCAATTTCATAACTTCGAAAGCATCAACATTTTCATCTTGCTTTTAGTGTTTAGTTTAGTTATACTATACGCATTTTTTATCTTTTCCAGTTACAGAAAACAAGCAAAAGAACTATCCTCGATCTACCACCACCGTCCCGTGCCCCCTGGTCAAGAGATGGTGCACTGGGTGACGCACGTCATCCGCACTGGTGGGGCACCCCATCTGAGGTCACCCGCGCTAAACATGGCGTTCTACCAGAAGATGTATTTGGACTTCGCTGCGTTGGTAGCAGTAATTGTTGTAGCAGTTGTTTTGGTAGTAAAGAAATTGTGTGGAGGAAGAAAAGCTGTGCCGAAAGAGAAGAGGAACTGATGATAGTTTCAATATAAGTTTTTTAAGTCTCGATGTTTGTTTTTGTTTTAGGTAAGTTGAAGTTTAGTGTCTGTCTATTAAAGTTCTTATCTTTATGAACATGAAGACTTTTTGATGACTTTTTCCCTTTACTTTGAACCAACGACAGCCTTTGAATTGCCAAGTTAACGTGTCAGTGAGCTGACCACATCACGTGTAAAACTATCAAGTTGGAAATATCTTAGAGAGTGGCGACTACGACGTTTACTTTACTACTAAATAAAACCGCTGTCCTGTAATTTAACGCAGATAATTTCAGTCAAAACATTATCACAATCTGATGTAACGAACACACCATAATTAAATTACCTGCCAAATTAAACGGCGGTGGATTGTGTAAATTAGCAAACGATAGGCCTATCCCATTAAACCCCAGACAGAGCGGAGAAAGGAGTCTCATGCATATGCATGCGCGGGAAATTGCCAGATTATTCGGTCGACCGCCTTGCGACAAGATAGTCTTGTAAACTAAGTTCGATTGTAGGAACAATCTTAGGGAAAATTTCTATTCATCAGGAGAAAAGCAAGGATTGGTACAGATAATCTTTTTTGATTGATAGCTGATAGATTTCCCATGTTCCCTGGGCAAAAGAAGAGTGCAAAGGGCTCTAAGCCTTTAACAGACTTTAAGCGAGCCCAAGGGTGCCCCCAAATGGGACTTGTTGAAAATTCTCAGTTATCGATCCATAGGATATTGCTAGAGGGGAGGCTTTAAATCAATAACAAACAAACGTAGTGATCAAAGAACAAGAAAAGGTTTGTAAAAAGTTTTTATTACTAACTTAAATAAGCTTAAACTACTTAAATGACACATAGCATCTAATCTAATTGGTTTTAGTCTTCTTCCCACTCTTAACAGGCTTATCTGCTTTTCTTTTGCCAAACACTTTCTGTTTAATTTTGCACAATACATAACACCCTATCCCCACAACCAGTAGTAGATCCAAGAACAACTTCTGGTACATCGGCACGTTGACTGCTGGAGACCGTAGGTGCTTGGCTCCATGGGTCCTGACCACATACTCTAGCCAGTAGACCAGTTCTTCACCAGGCTTCATGGGGCGGTCGTGGAAGATCGCCGACAATTCCTTGGCCTTGGTTTTGTAGCTGTGGATAAAAAAGGTTGTAGTTAAGGTGTTTGATGGTAAAAGTCGTAGTTGTGAAGAGAATATTGAATATATACTAGAGATATTTATTCAATGTAAGTACAAAATAAAATAACTAAGGGTACAAGCACCAAATGGCATCTGCTCAGTATAAGCCATGATGCCAGAGCTCAGAGAGCGCGTTACGACTACTGATATTCTGCAAATGCTAGTTGAGCAAAAGTGCAAAGAAGAAGAAGAAGATACGTGACTTCGTGACGGATTTATCTAAGTAAACTTTTTTAAAATAAAGCCAGCAACAGTTGCAGATTCGAACACTAACAGCCACTTGTGGCCGGTGGTAATGAATGATAATGTAATATGTAGGTATGTACGCTCGTTTCGTTTCAGCCAAATGACGTCCACTGCTGGACAAAGATCTGTTGGTTGGTTGCGCTGCCCGCATCCAGGTTCTTCCCGCGACCTTCACCAAATCGTCGGTCCACGGGGAGGCCTCATGTACGCTCCTATACGAGTATTCTTAGATACATAGGTAATGTTTCTATTAAGTTATCTAGTCGCCTTAGAAGATCTACTTAATTTGGATCTGGAGTTAAAAGCAGCAACAGCAGCGTCTTCATCTGATAAATGCAGATTCTATGTAAAAAGCTCTAATACCCACTTCTATCAGGATTAAATTGTCTTAAATCCCTTTGCGGTGTAGCAATGGTAGTGCTTAGAACAAACATTTGCCACTTGCAGGTATGGAAGCCACAACCACAAGCATTGGCTCGTTGCCAGTCTGGATCGGTTACCACAAAGCCGGTTATGTTGTGCCTGGCACATGGATTGCCGTATAGGATTACTTAGGATTGGATCGAAAGAAAGAAGTCTTCTGTACGTTTTTGATAAAACATGTGAGGATAATTATCCTGATAATTATATATCCTGATAATTATCCTATTTAAGTAAATAATATTGTATATAATTAATTAAATTGATTCCCTATTTCATTAAATAGGGAATCAATTACGTTTCGAACATGCAATCTGGTTGATTCAACTCGGAGGGAACAATAATTACAAAACATTATGTACCTAATGAGGTAGTAGTATTGGGTAGATTAATGTCTAAGTAAGAATTTAAAGTTATCCACTTTGGCGGTTGGCCTCGCTCACCAAGGGGAGTTTTACATCGACGAGGGAGTTTGACCAACGACCTCATAAAGGAAGCAGGAAGGCGCTGCACGCAGGCCGCTACCAACCGTTCAATATGGAGGACTATAGTCAGCAATGGACGTCCTGTGGCTGAAATGATGATGATGATAAAACAATTTTGACTACTTACGCAGGGTTCCGCAGAATCTCTTGAACAGCGGCATAGATATCGTCAGACATATCTTCGGCCAGTGTGACAGAGATGCAGAATCCCTTGTCCACTGCTGACTTCGTGTTGACGTACTGATCCCCGAAGACTGGGATGCCCACCACTGGGACTCCGAAGTGGATGGCTTCTGTTGTAGAGAGCTGTCCACCGTGGGTGATGAACATTTTCAGATTTGGGTGTGCTGGTGAATAAGGAAAAATCTTTATTATAAGGTATACACTTATAAGGTATTAATTCAATTATGCTCATTTTTTTAATAAGGAATAATTATTACGATATAGTTTTTATTTATAAGCTACTTACCCAGAATGCTCTGTTGTGGCGCCCACTTGACTAAATGAATATTCGCGGGAACATTCTGGAGATCCTCTTCAAACTTCCAAATGACTTTTTGTTTTAATTTGGAGAACATCTTTAGAAGCGAATTTCTCATATTTTCCGTCATATCAACGCTCTTCAAATTGGACCCCATGCTGAAATATATCACTCCGTCTTTGGCTTCGTCCATTATCTTTTGGAGATCCTGCAAATTAAAATATTAAAATCTTAAACTTGGGGGCTATTTAAAAGGTTTTGGTACAGTCAGCCTCAAATAGTTCGTGACACCTAAAGTTGTCAAAAAGTTGACAGCACAAAAAGACCTGTGGGTCTAGACAAAGTGCAAATTATAATCGCAAACCAGTCGAAAAGTGGTCGAAATGCCCCTTTTTTGTATGGAGTTTTGACGGATTCGATTTTCGATTCGATCAAAAAGTGCGTTTTGTCTAGAGGGGCTGCTGCAAACTTTTTGACTACTTTGGGTGTCACGACTCACGAAGTATGACTGCACAATGACATCCTTATTCAATTCAAAATATTTTATTAAATCAGACTACAATTTGGTCATGCCTGAGATAAATTGTTTCTACCTGGATGTGGCCCTCACAAAAAACTATAATCAGGATACATAGCATTTAAGTAGTTTGTTGAGTATTCCGTGTGGATCTGTGGTGTAATGATTGTAAGATGATATCATCAGAAAAGTATGTTTTTGTTCACTATAATTGAATCTGCGGAGCAGATTTAGTCAATAAAAAAACCGGCCAAGTGCGAGTCGGGCTCGCGCACAAAGGGTTCCGTAGCAGCAAATATAATAAACTTATTATGTCAATTTATACACCTGGTGAATGGAGCCTAAACTCTCCCGATATTTTGCCTTGTACTTTTATGTATGAATATTAATTTTATATATGTATTTATAAATATTCCGAGCTAAAGAGGTGGCAAAAGCAATGGCAAACAAACCACAATCAATAGTATTCGGTTGTCGCTGAACACTTGGAAACTGAATACATGACTCCGATAGATACGGAAACAAGGCTTTTACATATATTTTTTGCGATTTTCCTAGAACACCAACAAGACTATCGTACACACGCAGTATTCCATTAATGTAATAAATACAACTCCAGTGCCCCACTAATCCCACGTCACCGTCATAAATTACTTGAAGGTGCGTCTCATTTTTAGGTACAGGTTCAATCAGTTCAGGGTGTTGAAATAATTCTAGCTCACGCGGTCTAAATGATGTGCACCGAAGTAACTTTTCATGAAATGCGCAAAAAAAATTTTCATCCCTCAGTTACATGTATGGGGGGCCCCACCCCCAATTCTTTTTTTTACTATTTAGTGTCATAATTTGGTAGCGGTTCATACAACACATATTCCCATCAAATTTCATCACTGTAGTACTTATAGTTTCCGAGTAAATCGGCTGTGACAGACGGACAGACGGACAGACGGACAGACGGACAGACGGACAGACGGACAGACGGACAGACGGACAGACGGACATGACGAAACTATAAGGGTTCCGTTTTTGCCATTTTGGCTACGGAACCCTAAAAACGTAATACAAAAAGTCCAACCTGACCAATTTTATTATCTCAGGTATTTCTATTGCAGCTAATACATAGTTCGTCATAGTCATTAAATAGCAAACAGTCAAAAAAGTTCTGCTGAGCGAAGATCGAAATATTTATCGCAATCAATCGACATTCTCTCTCATATTACATACCTACACAATTTTTAACCTACACAGGTTAGTTATTCTTGAATTCAATAGCAAGCTTAATATTGTTGATTTTTACGGGTTTTAGGCTGAGGCAACTTATTTAACCGTAACTAACCGGTGTTATTTGAGAGTGGAAGGAGTTTGACAGACTTTTGACGTTTGTTAGTTAAATTTAAATGGTGCAACCTAGGGTTAGAATTCTCATGATCACCTTAGGCAAAGCCTTAACTTCGGTGTCCACATGGTACCCTCCCACATATTTGGCGTTTTGGGGCAGCCTGAAGGGGGTCCCGATGGATGGATGGGAATACAGGTACATCAACGAAGCGTTGTACACTGCGTCATCGTATCCAGGCATGGTGACTCCTCTCTTGGCTGCGAGGTCAGGGAATATTGTGTTGTAGAGTCGTTTCTCGAAGGGTACAACCACACCACTGAAACAACAAAGTGAAGAAAATTAGTGTTGGGTAGGCCTAGTCTTACGCGAGTAATAGAAGGTGTTGAATAGAATGTCGTTTATGTTTTAGCTGAAAACTCT